TGTTCCTAGCACAAAAAAAAAAAAAATTTCAATCTATTATACTAAAATTTTGAAATTTCAAAAGGATACAACAAAATCATCAAAACTTTTTCAATAATAGAAAACAAATTTAAAAAAAAAAAAAAAAATCTTGTTCAATTTTTTTTTTTTTGTTGTTAAACTTTACTTTCATAGGCTTGTTACTCCTTCATATCACAAATATATTAATTCATTCCTGAATTCATAATTATGAAAAAAAAAAAAAAAGTTTTCAAATTCTAGAAGATCAGCTAAACATTTCAAAATTCAAAAATCATTTTTTTTTTTTTTATTAACTGAAAATTAAAATATTTAGAGGAGGAGAGAGAGAGAGAGAGGAAGTGAGGAGGAAAAAAAAACTTTTTTAAATTAAAATACTACGAATGCAAAACACTAAACTTGCATCATTTGCAATCATAATGCAAACTGCATGCTAAAATATTTAAAGAAATATATATATATGATATAATTTATCCTAATTACATTATTTAAATGTAATTATAAATTATATTTGATATTTTCTCAAAAAATTTAATTCCATAAAATCAAATTATTCTTCTTCCCTTCTTACCTTTACATTCACATATCTGTTAGGTCGATAAAATAAACATGAATGAATATGAGAAGAAATTGAAGAATAGAACAAAAATGACAATATTTTTGATCATCAAAGAATTATCTCTCTTCACATCTTTCTCTTTCATCCTCTCTCTTCTCTCCTCTCTCTCTCTCCCTCTCTCTCTCGTAACACAAGAATTTCGTTCAAAAAAAAAAATTCAATTATTAAAATAACGAATAAATAACAGTGCTATCAACAAATATATATATATAAAAAAGAAAAACCAGTAATTTGATAGCCACTATGATAAAAACTAATATTAGTAATAACAATTAATAATAATGATAATAGCAATAATAATAGCAGTAATAATAATAGTAATATTAATAATAATATCAATATCAATAATAATAATAATAGTAATAAAACAATAATAACAGTAATAATAATAATAACAATTAATAATAATACCAATGATAATAATAATAAACAATAATAATAATAATAATAATAGTGATAATAATAATAGTAATAATAATAATAATAATAAACAATAATGATAATAATAATAATAATAATAATGATAGTAATAATAATGATAATAATAATAATAATAATAATAATAATAATAATAATAATAATAATAATAATAATAATAATAATAATAATAATAATAATAATAATAATAATAATAATAATAATAGTAATAATAATAATAACAATAATAAATAACATTAATAATAATAAATAACAATAATAATAAATAATAATAACAATAATAATAAATAATAACAATGATAATTATAAATAACGACAATAATAATTAATTAAAATAGTAAAACGATGAATAATAAATGGATGACGAAGAAATAAAAATTCCATCATCATTCAGAACAAATCATCAAACTTATGCGCAATATGACGTGTCACAAGTTAAACAATTACATATCCATGTGCAGATATATACGCACACGCACACGCACACCCACACACGCACGCACGCATGCACACACGCAAATCACATACACATAAATGAAGAAAGAAAGGGAGAGAGAGAGAGAGAGAGAGAGAGAGAGAGAGAAAGAGATGAAATTAATGGGGATAATAAGAGATCGTTATGTTGTTTCATCATACTTAAAAACTGGTTTCATTTTAAATATATATATATATATGTCCCTTTTCTTGTCCTCTTTTTCATCTTTTAATTTCCTTCTCTTCTCAATCAAAATAACTTTTATTGACTTTCAAAAAAAAAAAAAAAAAAAAAAACAATTACTAATTTTTAACAAACAAAAATTTTATTGGAAATGACATAAAATTAAATTAAACACTTTTCTTAAGTTCATTTACAATTATCATTATTCTCTTTTACAATTCTCCACCAAAATATTTTTATATTTTAGTATGATAATCGTTATTTCAAAATTTGCTTTAATTATAACTGATAAATTTATTTTTGCAAATCTGTATATGACTACATAAAAAAAATTGATTTATTAAAATATTTTATGAATCTAAAAAAAAAAAAAAAGTAGGATCAATGATCATAAATTAGGTAGAATTTTTAAATGTATTACAAGAAATAATTGGGAAAAGTAAGAAAGTGTAACGGAAATTTTAAAAATTCGATTAAAACATGCAATGAAAAAATTCGTCAATAATTATTACTTTAATCAAATCTTCTTGCAATTTTTTTTTTTAAATAATGAAAAAAGATTGAAATTTGAATTTTATCAATAAGAGAAATGAAGAAAAATTGAATGAACAGAGGAATGAGAAAATAAAAAAATAAAAAAAAATTAATGTCATTTTAAAAAAAAAAAAAAAAAAGTGCTATTGCTATTGCTATCTGTAATGTTATTTATTTATTTATTTATTTAATAATAATTACAAATATGGAAGAATCCATTGTTTTTTGCTCTTTTGTTTCTTATCAAAAAGAAAGAGAAAAGACAAAAAAAAAAAAAAACAAAAATCGACATTTTGACATTTCTGAAAATCCTAAATGTGTCATATCGGAATGTCAAATTTCTCAAAAAAAAAAACAAATCTATTTTAAAGACAAAAATGAAATATAATTTAAAATAAGCAAAAAATGATTAACATACAATGAAGAGAATTTTTAGTTTATTATATACGAAAATATAGCTATAAAAAATTTTTTTAATTAAAAAAAAAAAAAAAGTGATATAAAAATGAAATTTCACACTTCTTTCATACTTTACAAATCTTTTTTGCAAAAATTTTGAATATAAAATTTTCTTTTGGCTAAGTAAAACAAATTAAAGTAAGAGATAACAGTTTAAAAATAAGAAATTTTTAGTTTATTATATACGAAAATATAGCTATAAAAAATTTTTTTTAATTAAAAAAAAAAAAAAAGTGATATAAAAATGAAATTTCACACTTCTTTCATACTTTACAAATCTTTTTGCAAAAATTTTGAATATAAAATTTTCTTTTGGCTAAGTAAAACAAATTAAAGTAAGAGAGATAACAGTTTAAAAATAAGACCAATTGAAAAAAATAATTTATGAATAAAATTTTATTTATAATTTGTAGAAATGACGAAAAAAAAAAAAAAAAAGCAAAAAAGCAAAAAATGAAAGAAAATGACGAATACATACATACATATCATTCGATGATCAAATATTTTAATTAATTATAAACTTTCTCTAATATAATACATTTTTTGCAAACCTTTTCCTTTTGCTAGCGCAAAATAACATTTTCCATAATTTTAGACATTTCGATGAAGACAAAAGTAAAATGTCATTTCACCGAAATTACATTTTTCAATTGTGTATTCGTTGTTGAGTTTGCAAATTGAACAAATATATTTTTGAGAAATATTAGCCCATTAAATATTCATCATCATAATCCAACATTTTTTCATTTTTCATCAAATTTATAACTGAAATAAATTTTCTTTATTTTTGCAAATATTCAAAAAATTATTTCGTATAATTAATTTTGCTATAATTCCAAAAAAAAAAAAAATAAATAAATAAATAAATTAAAATTGCAACAAATCAACATTTAAATAAATGTTACCTGTAAAAGTAATTAACTCAAAAAAAAAAAATTATCAAAAAAATCAAAATATAATCCAATTCTAATCGATCAATCAGCTAGATATAATGTTAATAATAAATTTTTTTTTTTTTAAATAAAAAAAGAACCAAAAAGGAAAAAGTTTGAGAATATTTAAAACAATTTTTCAAACTTTTCTCATTAACTCAATTCCATTCTTCATATCATTTAAAAAAAATTTAAAAAAGGGAGTGATAATCACATAAGATAATTGATCATTTTTTGTAAATAAAATTGTATCATTGTGTTGCTCTATATATGTAATTTTATTCAATTTATATACATTTCATGATTTATCACATTAAAGTATAGTAATACTAAAGAAATACATTGATAAAAAGAGATAAAAATGGAAAGAACACAATCAAAAATTTTTATATTATACATCACCAATAGATATTTTACACGTCAGCTTTTGCTATATAAGCCAAATACTAGCTTAATTTTCAATCGATGTTGCTCAACAATGCAACTTACATCTTTTTAAAATTTTAAAAAGTACAAAAATTGAAAAAAAAAAAAAAAAAAAAAGGAAAAGGAAAAAGAATTTCTCATATACATTAAGAATAAAATAAAGATTGATCATTATTTAATTCTTGGATTTCTCTCTCTCTCATTTGATAATGAATGGATAGAAATTTTGAAAATAAACAAAAACTATAATTTTTCTCCCCTTATATTAATTCAAATGAAAATGTTTAAAAGTTAAAGTTTGTGTTAATAACAAAGTACAACTACACAATATTATTGAAGTGTTAAGATAAGGCAAAATTTTCTAGTTTTCTAGTTTTACATTCAAATATATAAAATACCTAAAAATTTCATTAAGTGCATATGTACTTCAAATGTCAAAAAGAAAATGAAAAGTTAGAAAAAATTCAAACAGAAAATTAATTCAAAAAAATCAATAAAAAACTAACAAATCTAAATTCATCAAAAAAAAAAAAAAATTATTAACAGATATTTCATGAAAATAATATAAAGGAATATTGATGGTATATTTATTCCTACATACAATGTATACTACTTACCTATCGAATGAAAAAATCAATAAATGAGAGTAGATCGTTTCCTTTATATTGTTTTCAAGAAATATGCAAATATTTGTTTTACTGCATCATTCAAGAATGAAATATACAGAAGTAACAATCTTTCATCTTTCAAAGGAAGAAATTTACAATGAAATAATTCATCCAACAGATCACATCCAACATTTTTTTTCATAAATTATTTTTATAAATTAAACCTCAATAATCTTTATAAATACTGCTGCTCACTCTATAATTAGTATTCCATAAACTTTCTTTTTTTTTTTTTTTGATATAAACATTTAACAAACATCATTATCATCAGAACTTCCTTCAGATAACTGTAATTCGCTGGGGACAAAATTATTTTCAGCATTTTTTGTTTTAGTTAATTTTTTCCGTCTATTCATCGGAATAATAGTCGATCGTTTCTTGCCTCTTGTTGATTTTTCCACAACACATTTACTCGGTCGTTTCCTATTTTGTTTTTCACTTCTCTTCATCTTCTGGAAATGAAGCTTTTTATAAAATGTTTTATTTCTTTCAACAGTAATTTCACTAATTTCCATCTTCATCCATCCCTTTGGAGTCATTTAAAGAAAAAAAAATTTTAAATAAATGATAGTAATAACCAAAATATCACAATACGCAATATCTAAAAAAGCTTTTTTCACTAAATTTCCTTACGAGCTAAAAAAAAAAAAAAAATCATACTTCAATTTTTAAATTGCTTAAAATACTTCCACATAAAAAACTACCTTCATTACTGGAGCATAACTATCTTCAACATTTTCCGATAAAACCTGATTTTGAGAATCTGAAAATAAAAAAAAAAATTCCAAATATAAAAAAAACAAAATACAGTAAAAGTGAAAAACTGCATAATATTTGAAAGAGTATCGAAAAGTAAATATTTCAAAAGAAAACATTCGATAAAAAAAATAAGAAATGAATGAAGAAAATATGCAATCAAAATTTAAACAAACATACTTTTAACCGTAACTAAACGTTGTAGAGCTGCCTGAACACGTGCTGTCAAAAATAACCGTTGATCTTGCTCAGATTTCTGTAAACGATGACTAAATGATGTGATATGCATTTGATATGATTGTCCACTTCCACCAACTGATGGATTCAAATACTCATTCCATTTTTGCAATGAATGATTTGTTTGCTAAAATTTTGTTTATTATTATCAGTTATCGTTTATATTTCATAAATGAATACAGAACAATTCTTTTTACTCAATTCTATATGTCAGAAAAATAAAATTGAATTTACAATGTAAAATTAATAAAAAAAATAATCATAAATTATCATTTAAGCAAATTATGTTATATATAGAATTACGTCACAAAAAAAAAAAAAAAAATCTGTTAAAAAATATTTTTTTTTTCTTTTGATCACTACCTTTTCTAGCTGCTTCTTATCCCATCCTAGCTTCTGCCAAACAAACAATTCCAATTCATCCATATCAATATTCCGCCATCTCGGTTTCTCTGTTGAACTATCAACCAAAGGTTTCGCATATGCATTAAATACATCATGAGATGGAAACTAAAAGATTTTTTTTTGTTCTCGCAATTTCTCGAGTTTTTTTTTTTTTTTTTTCAGGAAATATTTTTTGATAAAATGTTACAAACATCAAAATAATTTCTTTCTTTAATACTACCAAAATTTTTGATTCATTTCGAATGAATCATTGATAATACAACAATTTCTATTCTATTCTTATTTCGTCCCTTTATATAATTTCAATATTTTTGTAACTTCTGCCAAATAACCCAATTTATTTCTTACACTTGGTAAGCCGTATAATTCTCTAAAATCAAACCAACTTAATCCAGTAAATTATATACAATAAAATGAAGTAAATACCGTCTCTAAAGTTTCAGTAAAGTTATTTTTCTCAATTAATCGTCTCAATTTCAATCGTCGTGTGTTCTCCACAAATTTTGTTTTCTTCACATCCTGTTCACTACTATAACCACTACTTGATGGCAAATCTTCCCAATTATCATGACGATTTAACCATGCTGATATACGTTTTAGATTTTCAAAAGCCTGGAATTCATTTTTTTTTTTTTTAAATGACACTGATTTTGTGTTTTCATAAATATTTAGATACATGTGCAAAGGCAAATTTTCAAATATTAAGTATAAGAATAGCTATACAAATGAAGAACAATTTCAAAAAATTACAATAAAAACCTGTTGAGAAGGTTCAGCATCTAATTGTGGTGAAGTAGTAGCAAACTCTGAAATCAGTTCCAATGCTGCAACAACTCCAACACCTTCTAAACCATTGGTATAATCACCACCGGAGAGTAAAGCTATTTGAATTGCTTCCCAACGTGATAAACCTGCAATTATCTGTGAATAAAATTTGAATAAATACAGTAAAGTTTGCATTGAAATGAATTTGAAGTATATGAGATTAATTGAAATAAGCCTAATACTATAACATTTCTAATACAAATGATAACATTAAAAGCATTTACCTAATTGATTACGAATACTTTCCATAGAGTACATCTGCAATCTTCGTTTTTGATTGAACATATTTTTGTAAACAACAGCAGCACCAAATAACCAAACATCAGAATCATCACTAATAATTCCCTATGAAGAAGTTACTCTATTACTATTAATTAATAATTTCTGCATAAAATAATTCAATTATAAGAAACCTTTCATAGCAATAAGTTTAGTTCCTTTTTGAAAGAGATTTAAAATAGCATTTGCTGAAATGTCCCATTCCCACCAATTCTCACATGATATATTTATAGTAGTATCTTTGCTATTTTGTTTTCTTTAAAGTATATTTTCATGTCAACAAAAAAATACTGTTCAGAGGTGAGATCACAACACCCCCTCTTCTTCCCCCCCTCCAAAAAAAAAAAAAAAACGCTAATATAGTCACTAGAAAAACAAAAAAGAACGGAACATACCTGAACGAGACCTAATTTTTCAAGTTCACAACATTGAGCTTCCGCTTCACCAGGAGCAATAACGAATGGTATCCCGCAAATACGCAACAGATTCTGCAAACCAAAAATTTGAATTCTGCAAGAAATTATTTAATATGGTAAAAAATGATCTATTCAAAATTGAGTGAACAGCAAACCTGACAATCCTTATAAACACCTTCTTCTCGTGTCGAAGCAAAAATATCTAAATCATTAGCTGGATTAATGTGCATAGATGAACCTGGAACTGCCGAGTCATCATGTGATTCATCGATATTTCTGTCCTAAAATACTTTCAATGTAAAATACCTGTAATTGCAATGAAGTTATTACAAGTTATTAATAAATAAAAGTAGTTTATTTCATATGTGAATGAAGAGGAAACACCTCCCATATAATCATTTGACAACTAAAAATAAAAGCATAAGAAAAATTTCTAATTATGCATCAAGAGGCGAAAAAAAAAAAAAAAGAAATAAAGAGAACTCAAAATTCCTCAACAAATACTTTCTTACCTTTTCGACGATGCATTCCTTATCGTTATCCTTAATAAAACATTCCTTAGGTTCACATTTTGTTGAATTTTCGGCGGTTTTCGTACTAGATAAAGGAACATCTAATTTCTCAGAAAATTCAGGAAATATTTCCACAAATTCATCACTGCTCTCGCTAGATGATGATGACCATGTATCATGATGCAAATCTAAAAAATTTGCAAAATTTAATTTATAACAAAGAAAAAATAATGTACATTATATTTTATTGATATTTGTTGAATGTTTCATCCATAAAGCCTTGCAATAGTTATATATTTTCAAACTTTTGATTACCACTGATTTTTATTTTACATATGATATGCTTTATGAAAACATATAACACATAAATGATATCCAACACCTTTCTAGTCATCAAAAATCTTAAACAGTTGCTCAGAAAAAAAAGAAGAGACTAAATTAATAGATTAAAAAAAAAAAAACCTTGAGCTCTTTCAGTGAATGCTGTACGTAAACGCTGTATCATATCACCTTTTGATTCTTGATTATAGCCATAAGTACCAATTTGGAACTTATTGCATTTCTCAGCTGAATTTTCAAGAAGTGAAGCATGTATAGCCTAAATATACCAATCAACCATTTTTACTAATTAAATATTCTAACTAATTAAAAGATATTGCATTTCAAACATTTACAATATTAATACTACATTTCGACCAATTTTTTACTTATTTTTTCAAACCTCTTGCAAAGCACTGTCCTCATCATCATCATCATCATCGTTGTCGTCACAAGGAAAAGCTCCAATCTTGAAATCGTTTGACTTGTCAGTCTGGAAGTACCGAAACTTATTTATAGTTTTGTTGTTCTAAAGAATTCTACTTTAAGTGAATACTTAATGCTCTCATCAATGGCAAATTGAGAAAAAATTTTGCACTTAAAGCTTAACCTTAATTCTCAGTTCCATGCTATTATTACTCTAAATAAAAGAAATGTTTCAATATTACAAACAAAAAAAAAAAAAAATTTTCAAACAATCTCTATTCATCCCCCCAAAAAAACCAAATTTTGTGAAAGATTAACAATGTGACAACTAATAAACTAAAAGTTCAGCGCTTCAGGAAAAATCTATGCACCTGGTGAGTAAAAAACATTTCTTTCGCATCTTCAATGTCCTTTTTTTCTCCATTTTTTTCCAGAAATGTTGGCCAAACTAATGAATCAATTAAATCTTTCTTCTTTGCTTCTTTTTCATCGTCAATCTGAAAATAATCAAATTGTACTTATCTCTCTTCAATCTTTCCAACAGACTGTAAACATTTTGTTCAACAACAACAATGTACTATGACTAAGCAACTTCAAAATGCTGTATGACTAAGACGGAATTTAACTAAACTGTCATTAACACAATTCGAGTATACCATAGCTGATCTAAATACCTTAATGATCAAATATTCTCGGGCAAAATAATGAAAAGTGGAAAGTTTTGTGCACACTGAAAATATATTTACCCTTCAATACTTAAAAAAATATTTAAGAAAAGTACAATTTGCACTTCGTTGTCATCTGTTATTATATGCAATCTATCCAAGCCTTCCATTGCTGCCAATTTGATAGTGCTATTCGAGCAACCTTGTTCCCCATCTGCGGAGAATACTCGTAGTTTCAAAGCTTCATTCTTCAGCTTAAAAAAATATACAGTTAAAATAGTTGAACTATAAGATGAAAACAAAAAAAAAATTGACAGTGATGTAATCAATTTAAGAGGTTGTTAATACATATGAAAGGTGCTATAAACCAACTGAAATGCAATGTTTTACTATTTTTTTTTCAAGCAGAAGAATAAAGTTCTAGCCTTGTATAGGTTTTTTTTTTTTTTTTACAAAAGAATTTAAAAAAAAAATCAAATTTCTGAACTAAAGAAAACTTGTACCAACTGCAGTTGCTCATTTATCCGGTTACGTTTCAGCAGTCTATCGATTTGCAAATTACTAAAAGCTTTCGAATCATCCGGAACCTGAAATTCCATTTTTTTTTTAAAGAGAATAAGAAACACAGTAATCCAAGAATTTACACGAATGTTTATTGAAAATATTTTACCTCTCTCAACTTGAGACCTCTAACTTTGTCCCGTACAGTCAACAAATAATCAACTCGTTCGTCGCGAGTGGTTAAGCTCTCAAATTCAGTTTGATCGAATTCGGACGAACGTGATGACTCAAAAGATGAATAAATTATTTCAATTTCTCCATCCGACGCACTTTTATGTTTTCTGAAATTGATTTCAATAATTTCTTTTCCCTTCCTCTCTTTTTGCTATTTAAAAAGGCAAAACACTTTCAATTCCTGATATGACGAGTAAAATTTTAAACTATATGAATTGCAAAATGGGCTCTCAGTAGATAAATTTTTATTTAAGTACAAATAAATTAATTCTTACCAAATAATTATAGGAGCAAAAAGAAGGAAAAAAAACTTAGTTATATCGAAATTATTTTTTTTCACATTTTTTGAGAAAATTTTCGAAAATTTCTCTTCGTATTTCAGATAACTTTAAAAGAAATGGAAGGACCATAGATGAAAAACTTTCATGCAGCAATTATCAAACATATCCAAAGAAAAAAGGGTCCTTGTTAAGGTCAAGTTTTATCCCACAATTGCCTTAATAAAAAGAACTTCACAAAATGTTTTAAAAAAGATTTCAAACGTCTTTAGAACTCAAGTATTTGGCACATACAAAGTAAACAGTGAAAAGTTTTTATCAAAAAATTAAATTAGTAGTGTTCTGAAGACAATCCTAACATACATTTCGTCTTTTGATGTTGATGGAATTGGCACATCGAACAAATCATCAACTTTGCGTCTTTTTGTTTGCGAAGCAAATACCTCGCTTAATTCATCCACCCGTTGCTCACCACCATCTGAAATAACATTCCTAATAAGAGACTTGAATTTTAAAGAAAAAGATTTCGATCTTTTACAAAAAAATCTTAAAAGCCATCCGTGGAATGTCAAAAGTGTTAATCAGGTCTTTATCAATTAGTCTTTATCAATTATAATCTTTACCACTACTTTTACTAAGTGATCACTCAACAACTGCTACTAACTCTTAACAATACTATTGCATAATGGTACTAAAAATCATTCCTTATGTCTAACACTTTATGTTTAAGACTAAAACATATTAAACAGTAAAATTTGATAGGGATGAGATGAAATCCGAATGCGCAATATAAACTATATCTTATGTTTTCTCCCTTTACTGATATTATTTTTTAGACAAGAAAGAATACAAACGTAGTTGTGAGGAGGCCAATTGTTGTAGGACATGCTTCTGTGCTTTAGTCATCGTTAGTTCTTCCACATAACGTTTTACTTGTCGATCACGCTAAAAATTTCTTCAAAAAACAAACTCTTTCTAAAAACAAAAACTCTATTTGATATACAAGGTATCCAACAGTATCTGGTAGATCTAACATTAAGCATAAAACAATCAAAAAATTTAATCAAAAGAACTGTAAATGGTATGTAGTATTTAGAATTCTTAAAAGTTGCTAAACAACAAAAAAAAGGTCAATTAGAATAAAACCTCAAACTCAAAAAAAAAAAAAAATCTCAGTTATCAAAATCGACACTCCAGCAATTTCCGAAGCTCTTCAGAATATTTAGTAAGGATTAGAAAAAATACCAGCAATTTCTTCTTAAATATGGGTACATTTGGACCATCGAAAACAAAAAATGGTCGTATTTTGTAAAACAGAAGTTTCGCCAGACGTCGTAATACCAATGATAAATGTGGATATTTGGCATTCAGTTGATGTTCCGAGTAGCCATAGGCTGCTTGATGAAGCCAAATTGAAATATCTGGAATGATCGAAAAATTTTCTAAAAATTATGGTTGATACGTTCTGCAGGCATTGCATTATCTACTTCATATTATTTGAAAAATCTAGTACGAGCTACAACAAGTTCTGTGTAAACTTCACTAACTTTTTAAAGTATGTTATTTATAATAACGAAGAATTGCTAGCATTATCCAAAGTATTTTAATGCTAACTGCTATTTTTTGATAAATATCAAAAAGAAAAAGCCTCATAATGTAGCAATTAGTTACTAATATCTTTCTTAATTCTTATAATTTGAAAATTTTATTAAAACTCATAGCAGCCGAAATTAAAAATAAACCAATTGCAAGCCGTTTTCCTTCAAGAGATTCCAAGGTTACTGGTTCAGCTACAGGTTCTAATATCTGCCATAATCCCTGTATACCCATACCTGTAATATTTTTTTAAATAAAAAAAAAAAAGTTTTTTTCCTTTGTTGGAAATAATTTGTCATCCAAAAGCTATTTTTAGATAAAGTGTAATTAAACTTTTAAATAACTTTTAATTAAAATTTCCGTTTCTTTTTTTAATTTTTCTAATAATTCTCACTTCCCAGGTACCACATACATGGCTCTCTCCGTATCTCCTACTTACTTTCAATATCTGCTTCTATTCTCTATTATTAATATTACCACACTCTATCCATTCCGTATATTCTCAATCTACAGTTTCCTTCAATCACTCTCAATCTCTCGTCCGTATGCTATCTCATAAATACTACCACCCTCTGCACACAAACACACCCACTTTTACCGCCTAACATTATGCATTCAAAACGGACAGTAATTAAGGAAGATATTGGAACCAAAGTGACTTAGAAAACTATGAAAATGTCTTCAGACCAGCTTCAATGAAAATCGCAAATCTCAGCACTCAAATCTACATTTAATTTAAATTGCAAATCTATAATCAATTTAAAAATTTTGAAAGAATTGCAAAAAAATCTGTAAAATTTCTCTCCTATACCAATCGCATAAATCACTTAAAATTACTGTTGACACTCATTGCAAAAAGAAAAAAAAATTTACTAAAATTTTATGCTAATAAAAAATAAAATGAATTTATTAAAATTTATTTCATTATAAAAATTAGCTGTTATCTGATAATTTCATTTTCATTATCATTGTTTCTCGTTTTTGTCGGTGTGTCAAATTTCATTTTTGCTATTGCAATTCTCGAAGTTTTCATTCAAACAAATCTTTTATCTTCCTTTTCTCCATTATGTTTGACACTGTAATGCGATGGATATTAAATGCTGTTTGTTTTTTTTTTTTTTTTCGAAAAAAAATTTAAATTAAATTAAATTAATTGATTGATAAATTGAAAAAAAAATATGAAATGTAAAAAATTGATTGCTTAAATTGATTAAATTAATTTTTTTTTTTTTAAAAAAATTAATTATTGATATTTTCACTTTTTTTTCCTCTAACTGTTATTTCTGTTAACTTTTAATTTTCACTTTTTTTTTTGATTTTAATTTAAATCAATCAATCAATCAATCAAAAAGCTTTTCATATTCTCTCCCATCTTCTGAATAATTATTTTGCATCAAATTTTTTTCCATTCTCTTTTTAAAATATAAAATATATTTAATTTTCATGCTTAATTCATCCAATTTAAATTATTTTTTCATCTAATTAAAATTCATCTAATTTAAATTATTTTCATGCTTAATTCATCTAATTTAAATTATTTTTCATCTAATTTAAATTATTTTTTCATCTAATTTAAATTATTTTCATGCTTAATTCATCTAATTTAAATTATTTTCATGCTTAATTCATCTAATTTAAATTATTTTTTCATCTAATTTAAATTATTTTTTCATCTAATTTAAATTATTTTTTCATCTAATTAAAATTCATCTAATTTAAATTATTTTCATGCTTAATTCATCTAATTTAAATTATTTTTTCATCTAATTTAAATTATTTTTTCATCTAATTTAAAATATTTTTTCATCTAATTAAAATTCATCTAATTTTAATTATTTTCATGCTTAATTCATCCAATTTAAATTAATTTACATTTCAGAATTTTGTAAATTACGTATCAGATCAAAGTATTATTTTTCTAATACTTTTTTGCTTTTGGATTATTTTTTTAATCTTTTATATGTCACGTGTTATGGGACCTATTACTGCATTAATTTTAACATACATTGCACATAAATGTGGATTAAAATGTTATCTAAAATTAGGTCAATTTTTATTTGATCATTAAATAAAAAAAAAAAAAAAACTTTAAGCTAATCAGCTAACATTGTAAAATTTTAATTTTTTACTTTTCAGCATTTTAATTTTTTTAATTTTTACTTTTTTTAAAATTTTAATTTTTTACTTTTTTACTTTTATTTTACCTTTTTTTTCTCTTTTTTTCACTTCATATTGCAGTTAAAAAATGAAGAGAAAAAAAAGAAAGCATAAGTAAATTTTAGGTTTAAACTTGCAATTAATTAATTAATTAATTGATTAAGTAAATTTCAAAACTAAACCTGTAATTAATTAATTAATTTTTATTGTTTTAGGTCAATTAGTTTAAAAAAACAGAAAAAAAGAAATTTCTTTTTTTCATCCAAAACTAAAATATTTTTAAATATGTAATATCTCAGATCATTGCATTCTCTATCAAATTGTATTATTAAGTAAACTTGTAATTAATTAATTGATTAAGTAAATTTCAGAACTAAACCTGTAATTAATTAATTAATTTTTATTGTTTTAGGTCAATTAGTTTAAAAAAAACAGAAAGAAAGAATTTCTTTTTTTCATTCAAAACTAAAATATTTTTAAATATGTAATATCTCAGATCATTGCATTCTCTATCAAATTGTATTATTAAGCATAATCTCTTAATTAATAATTAACAAATATAAAGCATAAATTTACTAAATTAAAAAAGAAAGAAATATCTTATCATCGTTATCTCTTATCACTTTTATCTTTTTTAAGGTTCTTTATCAATTTCTTTACTAGCAGGAAAAGTTATGTTTCGACATTTCACATTTATATGCGAAGATTATGCAATTTATTGTAATGATGGTTATCTTATCTTTTCATATTGGCGACATATCAAATTCACTGATCTTTATAAGCAAGAGTTTGTTTTTTTTTTTTTTTTGAAATATTATCTATTCAATTAAGTCTTATTAAGCTTTAATTAGAACTTTAATTAAGCCCAATTAATTTAAAATTTAACAAATTTGTGATTATTATATTTGAAATATTATCTATTCAATTAAGATTTGTTAAACTTTAATTAAGTCTAATTAATTTAGGATTTAACAAATTTGTTGTTATTATTTTTGAATTATTATCTATTCAATTAAGCTTTATGAAACTTTAATTAAGCCTATTTAGTATAGAATTTAACAAATTTGTGATTATTATATTTGATATATTATCTATTCAATTAAGCCTTGTTAAGCCTTAATTAAAACTTTAATTAAGCCTATTTAATAGCCTTGTTAAACTTTAATTAAAACTTTAATTAAGCTTATTCAATTTAAAATTTAACAAATTTGTGATTATTACATTTGAAATATTTTCTATTCAATTAAGCTTTGTTAAACTTTAATTAAAACTTTAATTAAGTCTAATTAATTTAGAATTTAACAAATTTGTGACTATTACGTTAATTAAGCTTACTCAATTTAAAATTTAACAAATTTGTGATTATTATATTTGAAATATTTTCTGTTCAATTAAGCCTTAATAAGCTTAAATTAAGCCTACTCAATTTAGTATTTAACAATTTGTTATTATTATATTTGATATATTATCTATTCAATCAAGTCCCACTAAGCTTTAAATAAAACCTTAATTAAGCTCATTAAATCAAAAATTTAATAAATTAGTGATTATTATGTTTGTAATATTATCCATTCAATTAAGCCCTATTAAGTTCTAATTAAGCTCATTCAATTTATAATTTCACAAATTTATTATTATTATTATTATTGTATTTGCAATGCTACCCACTCAATTAAGCCTTAGTTAAGTTTTAATTAAAGCTTTAATTAAGCTTATTTAATTTAGTATTTAACAAATTTGTGATTATTATATAAACATTTATTTATACAAACATGTATTATATTGTTGCAATTTTAGCAAATGATTATTTACTGATAAACAATGAATGTAATTTCATATTGTAAAAAATTATAACATTCAAATCTCTCTTTCTCTCCCTCTCTCTAAGAAAAAAAAATATACATTTCAAAATTTTCGAATTTAAATTTATATTTTAAAATTTCAGCTTGAAAGGTCGTTTACATTTGATATTAAATGGACTACGTATTCATATATATAATCGTTTGGATGCATATCGAAAATTAAAAAAAGATTCTAAATTTGAAAAACTTTTTATGACAATTTCACAACAACAACAACAAAAACAACAACAAAAACAACAACAAAAACAACAACAACAACAAAAACAACAACAACAACAACAACAACAAAATGATGAAAACATACATTCAAACGACAATATTATTAGTACTGTTAACAAATTGCCTTATAATAATTGTTATTTTAAAAAGTTTATTAATAATTCAATTAAATTACACTATCATTTTTAATATATCTAAGAAAAATTAAATAAGCTATTTATAATTTTACGTGAAATATTACGTAAAATATTTGCGTGAAATATTTTATGATTATAAATGAAATTTTGCGATATTATACAAAGACTAATGTATTATCATATATTTTCATAATGCAAAATTTGTAAATTTAATAATTAAAGATTTTTTAAAAAATTTGAGCTATTTTATTTTTTTGTTTAAACATTTAATGCTTGAAAGAATTTAAAAATCATTTTAAAAAAATTTGTTCAAATTATTTAAGTGAAATTAATTAACTTTCTACTTTTTTTTTTTTTAATAAAATTTTAATCTCTTTTCTTTAACAATCATTTTATAGCATCATGAATGAAATTATTTATAAAAATTTTCAATAAAAATTATTATCAAATAAATTTTTTCAAATAGTAATACAATAATACATATTTAAAAAAAAGTAAATAAATGATTATAGGATAGAGTAAACAAAATTGTGAATTAATCAACAAATAATATAGTAATAAATTAAAAAGTAGAAATTTAAAATTTATTTAATTGATAATTTAATATATTCAAAAAATGATAATTAAAAAATGATAAATTTTTATTATTGAAGAAACGAATGATAAATTTGTGAAAAATTTTTGGACATTTATTGGTACAATACGTATGTCAATTAAAAATATTCGAATATACGTTGGAAATCGTTTGCTACCAACTACACTTGTCATTTGTTCACAGAAAGCATTATGTAAGTTAAATGATAATTTAATTTTATTTTTAAATATTTTATATTTTTTTAAATTCTTTTTAAATTGAATATTTTAATTTGCATATAAATACGTTTAATAATTGTCAAATTTTACGTCATAATAGCACACGTAAGTTAAACAATTAAATAAGTACTTATATGTTCACAGAAAGCATTATGTAAGTTAAATGATAATTTAATTTTATTTTTAAATATTTTATATTTTTAAATTGAATATTTTAATTTCTATATATTAAATTAGTACTTATATGTTCACAGAAAACATTATGTAAGTTAATTGTTAATTTAATTTTACTTTTAAATATTTTATATTTTTAAATTGAATATTTTAATTTCTATATATTAAATAAGTACTTATGTGTTCACAGAAAGCATTATGTAAGCTAACTGATGATTTAATTTTATTTTTAAATATATTTTTTTTTATATTTTTAATTCTTTTTAAATTGAATATTTTAATTTGCATATAAATACGTTTAATACTTGTCAAAATTTACGTGATAATAACGTAAGCACACGTAAGTTATACAATTAAATAAGTACTTGTATCTTTACAGAAAGTATTATGTAAGTTAATTGATAATTTAATTTTATATGAAATATTTTAATTTACATATAATAACGTTTTATACTTGTCAAAATTTACGTGATAATAACGTAAGCACACGTAAGTTATACAATTAAATAAGTACTTACATATTTACACAAAGCATTATGTAAGTTAATTGATAATTTAATTTTATTTTTAAACACTTTTTTTATATTTTTAAATTCTTTTTAAATAGAATAACTTTAATTTGCATATAACTACATTTAATACTTATCAAAATTTACGTGATAATAACGTAAGCACACGTAAGTTAAACAATTAAATAAATACTTATATGTTTACAGAAAGTATTATGTAAGTTAATTGACATTGTTTTGTTAAATTAAAAAATGCAATTGAAAAATTTATAGTTATTGGACGATTGGAACAAATAAATAATACTAAACTTTTGGTATGCTCAATTAATGGTTCAAATTTTTCAATTTCATTAAATACTAACAATGAATATGATTCAACCGATCAACGAAATCTTTGGAAATGTTATAGTGCACCTCGAATAATGGGAAGTGGCTTTAAAGTACTTCAAAATGCTACATTAAAAGCTATTTATCGTAGTAGTATCTTTGGTAATAGCATTAAAATTTCATTTTTAAAATTTAAAAATTTTAAAAATTACCTGCAAATTGATTTAGGAGGTAGGATAATTGCTAGGATTTGAATTGATTTTAATAATTTTAAATTAATAATGAATATTTGATCTAATTTGCATGATGAGACAATTACTTACTAGGATCTGAATTGATTTTAATAATTTTAAATTAATAATGAATATTTGATCTAAATTGATTTGATCTAATTTGCATGATGAGACAATTACTAGGATTTGAATTGATTTTAGTGCTTTTAAATTAATAATGAATAATTGATCTGAATTAATTTGATTTAATTTGCATGATGAGACAATTACTTACTAGGATCTGAATTGATTTTAATAATTTTAAATTAATAATGAATATTTGATCTGAATTAATTTGATTTAATTTGCATGATGAGACAATTACTTACTAGGATCTGAATTGATTTTAATAATTTTAAATTAATAATGAATAATTGATCTGAATTAATTTGATTTAATTTGCATGATGAGACAATTACTTACTAGGATCTGAATTGATTTTAATAATTTTAAATTAATAATGAATATTTGATCTGAATTAATTTGATTTAATTTGCATGATGAGACAATTACTTACTAGGATCTGAATTGATTTTAATAATTTTAAATTAATAATGAATAATTGATCTAGATTGATTTGATCTAATTTGTATGATGAGACAATTACTAGGATTTGAATTGATTTTAGTACTTTTAGGTTAATAATAAATATTTGATCTAAATTGATTTCATTACTAATATTTGATCTAATTTGGTTTTATTACGAATATTCGATCTAATTTGATTTTATTACTAATATCTGATCTATATTGATTTTATTACTAATATTTGATCTTAATTAATTTTTTTACTAATATTTGATCTATATTGATTTTATTACTAATATTTGATCTATATTGATTTTATTACTAATATTTGATCTAAATTGATTTTATTACTAATATTTGACCTAATTGATTTTTTTACTAATATTTGATCTATATTGATTTTATTACTAATATTTGATCTATATTGATTTTATTACTAATATTTGATCTAAATTGATTTTATTACTAATATTTGATCTAAATTGATTTCATTACTAATATTTGATCTATATTGATTTTATTACTAATATTTGATCTGAATTGCATAATAAGACAACCACTAGGAGTTGAATTGATTTTGGTACTTTTAAATTAATAAAGAATATTTGATCTGAATTGATTTTATTACTAATATTTGATCTAAATTGATTTTATTGCTAATATTTGATCTAAATTGATTTTATTGCTAATAGTTGATCTAAATTGATTTGATCCATTTTGCAAGATAAGACAATTACTAGGATTTAAATTGATTTGATTACTTTTAAATTAATTAATTAATTAATTAAGAACATTTGTTCTTTTGATGTTCACTACAAATAGTTTACATTTGGCATTTCAGTTTTAACATTTCTAAAATCAATCGATAATTTCAAGAATTCCTATTTAACTTTTGTTTAAATTTTATAAAAGTTATAGAAACTTTCCTTTTTTTTCCTTAAATTTTTAAATTTAAATGAAAAATTTTAAAATGAAAACAATGTCATCCATCTTATACACATAACAAAATAAATTTTAAAAAAATTTATGTAAATTTAATGTTTTACTTGTTGTTCAATTTTTTTCTTTTTTCTTTTAAGTAACATTAAAGCTTAGATTAAATTGAATCAAATTAAAATGATTAATTTAAAAATGATCAAATTCAGTTAAATGCTATAATTTTAAGATTTTAAAAATTTTTTAAAACTTTCTTTTCATACATTTTTTCAAACAATTTATTCAATTTGAATAGTTTTTATTGCTATTTTATTCAGTATTTGCTGTTAAATTTGAAGACTAAAAAAAAAATAAAAGGAAAAAAATTCGAATTTATCTAAAACAAAGTTAATTAAATTTTACGAAATTACTTCATAAAACGGTTAATTTTTAATTTCCAATTTAGATTCTAATTTAATTAGTCTTTTTTAAATTTCTAATTTAGATTCTAAATTTAATTAGTCTAATTTTTAATTTCTAATTTAGATCTAATTTCTAATTTATATTCCAATTTAATTAGTCTAATCTTTAATTTAGATTTAATTCCTAATTTAGATTCGGATTTAATTAGTCTAATTTTTAATTTCTAATTTAGATTTTAATTTAATTAGTGTAATTTCTAATTTATATTCTAATTTAATTAATCTAATTTTTAATTCCTAATTTAGCTGATTCATCATTGATACCAATTTGTGATTTAAATATTGATTTTGGTGAAAATGTAGCAATTGCATATGGTCCATGGGCAGAAGCATGTCGTTCTGCTTTTGTTAGCTATTTTTTTCCAACTGATTTTACCGATGCTAAATCTGTGTTAGTTTTTAAGTAATAATTTATTCAATTTTATGCTAATTTCATTTGTGAAAAAAAAATTATAGCAAAGCTAATTAATTAGTTTTACATTAACTTATTAATTAATATTTGTTAATTAAATTAATATCTGATATTAAAAATGATATTTTCACATTTCAAACATATAAGTTATTAATTAATATTTATCAATTAAATTAATATTTGATATTAAAAATGATATTTGAACACTTCAAATATATAAGTTATTAATTAATATTTATCAATTAAATTAATATTTGATATTAAAAATGATATTTGAACACCTCAAATATATGTATTATCACAGTACTATATGCTATTTTCCTCTAATTAATTAATTTCACATTAAGTTATCTATTAATATTTATTAATTAAATTAATATTTGATATTAAAAATGATATTTTTATACTTCAAATATATGTCCTATCCTTATCTGCTTAATTCTCTTATCACTTTTATCACTTGAATGATTAATCTATTAGGTATTATCAAACTTATCAAACTTTGATAACATTTTAACTTTAACAATCAAATATTAAAATATTACTTAAATTTAAATTATTCTCAGTAAATTACCGGAAAATAACGATCATAAAATACCACAAAAAATTGATATTACATTGACAATGAATGGTAGAACAACGATTAATTTATGGTTTATGCGAAACGATGAATTGAATACAATGACTGTAATTATCAAAAATGGCTTATCAATAAGTGTAATAATTTAATTTGATAATGTTTATTTGATTATCACTAGCAATGAATGATATTTATCAAACATTTAAAAGTTTAAATTAGATATTAATTAATTAGTCTTTAATTAGGTTGAATTGAAATTAAATATGAAATTAACTGTAATTATATTTATTAAACATTTAAAATTTTAAGTTACACATTAATTAGTAAGGGTTTAATTAGTTTGAATTGAATTTAATCATGAAATTAACTATAATTATATTTATTAAACATTTAAAAGTTTAAGTTAGATATTAATTAGTTAGTCCTTAATTAGTTTGAATTGAAATTAACCATTAAATTAACTATAATTATATTTATCAAACATTTAAAAGTTTAAGTTAGATATTAATTAGTTAGTCTTTAATCAGGTTGAATTGATATTAACTATCAAATTGACTATTTAAATTGAAATTAAGACTTTAATTTGACCTGAAATTATAAATTAACTATGTCAGATTATCAAATATAATTAATTTAATAACTAATTTAATATATTATTTAAAAAAAAATTTTTTTTATTTTATTTTTTGCTTCATAATGATTAAATGCATTCATAGTAAGGTTTTTTTTTTTTTTAAAACAAAAATTTAGCATTGAATGATAAAATAAATCCTTTCATTTTTTTTTTGTTTCAAAATTTTTTAAATTAAATTTTTCACCTATTGACAAGTGAATAATTCTAATAATTAAAATAAGTTTATTTCCATCTTTTTTTTTCATTTTTTTTTCTTTTTGACTTTTACAAATTAAACATAAAATTAAAAAAAATAAAAATAAAAATAAGTTTATTTCCATCTTTTCTTTTTAATATAAGGTATTTAACTAAATAATAATTTATAAATTAAAGCATTTAAATATATGATAATTTATAAATTAAACCATTTAACAAATAAGCATTTAAATAAATAATAATTTATGAATTAAAGCATTTAAATATATAATAATTTATAAATTAAAGCATTTAAATAAATAATAATTTATAATTTATGAATTAAAGCATTTAAATAAATAATAATTTACAATATAAAGCATTTAAATAAATAATAATTTATAAATTAAAGCATTTAAATAAATAATAATTTATAAATTAAAGCATTTAAATAAATAATAATTTATAAAATAAAGCAGTTAACAAATTAAACATTTATAAAATAAAAAAAAAAAATTAAATTATTTATAAATTAAAGATTGAAAAACCATTGGTAACAACCACTGATGATGATGGATATAAAACAAAAATACAATTTAATATGAACGATGTACAATTTCTACTAACTTCTGCTTTTCGAAAATTAATTTCATACGATGAAATGACAGTTCAATGTGATATATTTATACCAAAACAATATGGACAAATTCAAAATTGTCAACTTTTGATAAAAATGAATTGTGTTACAACATGGTGTATATGGGATCATATTGTCTTCATGCAGGTAACTCATTTAAATTTTAAAATTTTTATTTATTTAATTAATTGATTATAAATTTTAAAAAGTTGTTATAGCTTTAAAAAAATTTCAATTAATTGCTATATTAGATTTAAAAGTCACTATTAGTAAAAATTTTTAATTAATTGTTATATTAAATTAAATAGCAAACCATTAGTAATTTTCAATTAATTGTTATAACTTTGAAATTTTTCAATGAATTGCTACAACTTTAAAAAATTTCAAATTAATTGTTATATTAATCATTATATTGTTATTTCAATTAATTGTTATAAAATTGAAAAATTTCAATTAATTGTTATTATAATCATTATATTTATACTTTAAAAATTTGTTATAGCTTTAAAAAATTTCAATTAATTGTTATAATTTTAAAAAAATTATTTATTAATTATTATTATATTTGTATTTCAATTAATTGTTATAAATTAAAAAATTTCAATTAATTATAATTAAAATTGTTATAATTATTTATTTCAATTAATTATTATATTAAATTAAATGTTATATTTAATTAATTAATTTTGATATTAAATTAAATGTTATATTAATAATTGATTTTGAATTATTTATTATAACTTTAAAAATTTTCAATTAATTGTTATATTAATCGTTATATTTGTATTCTAATTAATTGCTATAATTTAAAAAATTTCAATTAATTGCTATATTAATCGTTATATTTATATTTTAATTAATTATTATAACTCTAAAAAAAATTCAATTAATTTTCATTTTAACTTTAAAAAATTTGATTTCATTTAAATTAGTATTGCTATCTTATATATTTATTATAATAATAATAAATATTTCAGGATTTTGTAAATGAAATTTCATCGTATTATACCGAAGATTTGGCACAATTTGTGCCACAAATTTGGAATTGTCAAATTGAATTTACAAATGCAAAATTCATTTTTGTTGTGAATGATAAAAATTGGGTGGATGCAAGGTATATTATCATTAATTAATTAATTAATTAATTAGTTAATTAGTTACCTGTAAAAAAAGTATTAGTCGTGTTAATAGCTAATATTACTGAATATTCTGATAAAGAGAAATTCACACTATTCCATTTTAAAAAATATTATTTATTAAAGAAATTTTAAATTGATAAAAATTGGGTGGATGCAAGGTATATCATCTTTAATTAATTAATTAATTAATTACCTGTAAAAAAAAACTAATAGTAGTGTTTATAGCTAATACTACTGAATGTTCTGATAAAGAGAAATTTATACTATTCAATTTTAAAAAATATTATTTATTAAAGAAATTTTAAATTGAAAAAAATTGAGTGGATACAAGGTATATCATCATTAATTAATTAATTAATTAGTTAATTAGTTACCTGTAAAAAAAAGTATTAGTAGTGTTAATAGCTAATATTACTGAATGTTCTGATAAAGAGAAATTCATAATATTCCATTTTAAAAAATATTATTTATTAAAGAAATTTTAAATTTAATTATCAAATATGGTAAACAATTAAATTTGTTTAATAGCGTAGTTTTTGAATTGTAAAAGTTTACGTAAAAATTTCAAATTTCAAAATTATTTTTTCTTTTCTTTCTTCCTTCCCTCTCTCTCTCTCTTTCTTCCTCTCTCTCCTTCTGCTGTCTCTCCCTCTCTCTCTCTGAATTATATTAAAGTATTAATTAACAAATATTAGTTAGAATATATTTAGTATTTAAACTTATGCACATTAGCTTAATAAATATTCCAATTTTAGCATTTTGAAATTTTAATTACATTTTTTAAATCTTTCAAAACTATCATTAGCTTATTTTAATAATAATTTCCAATTTGTTTTTTCCTTTTTTTTATTTCAATTATTTTCAAAATTAACAAATTTAAAAAAACAAAAATTTAATTTAAATAAATAATTTAGCAATCCATCAAGTAATTTCTTGATTGCTTAACAAATATATTCCTCTATAAATTTTCCAATTTTAGCATTTTGAAAATTAAATTATATTTTTTAAATCTTACAAAAATACTAAATCTTACTTTGAAAATAATTTCCTCAATAAATTTTCCAATTTTAGCATTTTGAAAATTAAATTATATTACATAAACTTTGAAAATACTATTTCTTTTTAAAATAATTCCTCTATTAATTTTCCAATTTTAGCATTTTGAAAATTAAATTATATTTTTCAAATCTTACAAAAATACTATATCTTACTTTGAAAATAATTTTTTTTTTGTTATTTCTTTTTTTTTATTTCAATTATTTTCAAAATTAAAAAAAATTTAAAAATTAAAATTTAATTTAAATAAACAATTTAGCAATCCATCAAGTAATTTCTTGATTGCACTTTTTGCGAAACAATTTACAATCAGTTGCAATTTCAATAAAACTGATTTCTGTCCCCAAATTTGTCATTGTAATACGGAAATGGTTGCAAGTGAATCGGTTGCAATTAAATTTCACATACCACAACGAAGTACCTTATCACCAGTAGTACATACACTTTATGATAATTCATTTCATTTTATCAAATATTCAACTATTAATGTATCAACAACAAATTTTGATTTTGATACGGTAAATTATTTATCAAATTATCAAAATTCTTTTTTTAATTACAAATTTGTTGTTATTATTGTTTTAGGAATTATTTCTTTTAATAATTTGTAATTTAATTTAATTATTTTGAATATCTTTTAAAATTTTTACTGGAAATTTTATTATTATTAAATTATTTATTTTGAAACAATAGCATTGGAAAAATTTACTGGAATCTTTTAAAAATCTTATCTTATCTTTAAAGGAAACTTATCTTTTAAAATTTTTACTAGAAATTTTATTATTATTTAGAAGTTATTCGTTTTTTATAACTTATAACTTATTTTTATAACTTATATTCGTTTTCATAACTTTTTATAACTTCAATTTAATTATTTCAAACGGTATCATTTAATGAATTTTCTAATTACAAAATTTTAATATTATTATTATTATTTAAAATTTATTCGTTCTTCTAACTTATAACTTAATTTTACAAAATTTTATTATTATTTAGAAATAATTCGTTCTTCTAACTTATAACTCAATTGAATTATTTCAAACAATATTATTGTATGAATTATTTTTAAATATCTTTAAAAATTTTACAATTCTACTAGCAGTATTTTTTAGAATAATTTAGATTATACTTCTTTTTTTTTTCATTTATATAACAAATTTTCTTTTTTCAAGAAAATAAATTATACTTTATATTTAGTAAATGTAATTTAAAATTTAAAAAAATTATCAAAATAATTTGATAAAAATTAGAATACAATCTAAAAAATTATATCTTTTTTCAGGAAAAACAAAATTTTACTTTATTCTTTTATTAAAATTTTTTTTTTTGAAAAATTTTTCAAAATAAATTTTAATTTTTTTTTTTTTTTTTTTAGAATTGGTTAGAATTTTTACGTACACAGCAAATTACATTCACTTTTAATTATACGTGGCATCCCATATATCTTCCGTATAAAAGTGATTTACCGTTACGGATTAAACCGATTGCAAATCAACAATATCCGGCACATCCGTTTGAGTTAGAACCTGATTCTGCACAAATTAAAGTAAACACTATAAACATAATCATAAAATTTAAATATTTTAATGTAATTTTATAATTTTAAAAAATGTGAAAGTATTAAAAAAAAAAAAATTATTTTAGATTGTAATTCAACCACCGGAAATATTCATTTCCGGTTTTGCTTTATGGATTGTCAAAAATTACATCAACGATTACTTTGGTTCATATAGTCAGGTTAAGTTCAACAAAGTTTTTTCTTTTCCTGAAATAAATTTTATTTTCATATTTTAAATTTGTGTAAAATTAATTAATTAATAATTTTTTTTAAATAAACTTTATTTTCATGTTTTAAAATTAAATAATTAATAATATTACTTTAAGAAATTAAAGTAAAATTAAGTAAAAAATAATATATTTTGAAAGACAAGAAAAAAAAACTTTAATTGATGGAATAAATATGATAAATTGGAAAAAAATTAATACTTTTTCAGTTAATTTTAATTAAATTTTAATTTTTCAATTTCTGTTATTTGGTAAATAAGTAATGAATTGCTATTTAATTAATAAATAATTTATTTCAAATTTGAATTTAATTACAGCAACAATCAGATATGGATTCTTATAATGCACATGCATTGCTTTCCCGAAGACTTTACGGACACGTAAAACACGAAATTGAAAAATATCGGCCATTGGATATGAAATTAAGTATTCAATTTCAGGATGCTCATGGGCACTGTCTTATTCATACAATTAAAACAACGGGTAAAAATCCGGGTAATTCTTTTCTTCTTTAAAAAACAATTTTGTAATTGTTGTAAAAAAATTTTCATTTTCATTTCAATATTTAATATTTTTTATTTTTAGTAATTTTACTAATTTACTAATTTTTTCGTCGTTTTTTTTTTTTTTTTAATTTCAATATTCAATTTAATTTAGTGTAATTTTAGTAATTTTACTAATTTACTAATTTTCCCCATCGTTTTTTATTTTTAATTCAATATTTAATATTTTTTAATTTTACTAATTTACTAAGTTTTCCTCATCTTTTTTTATTTTAAATTTCAATATTTAATTTAATTTTTTTTTCAATTTAGATATTTGTCCAACAATGAAAATTGACATTATGGTTGTAGAAATAGTACGAAAAATTCGTGATTTACGATTTCAGGTTAGTAATTTTAATTCAGAAATTATTTAAAAAAAAAAAAAATGGAATTTTAGTTTCTTTTTAATATTTATATTAATTTCTGAATGGATTTATTTGTAAAAAAAAAGAAAATTTTTGCTAAATTGTATATTTTTTAATTGAAAACAAAATATTTAAAAAATTTTCAATTGCTTAAAAAATTTTATTAAAATTATATTTCATTAATAAATTATTTTTAAATTTTATAAACCTTTTATTAAATTGCATATAAAATATCAATAATTATTGAATTTATCATTTTATTATTTTTTTTTAATTAATTTTAAATTTATTACTTTTTAATAAATTACACCAAAAAGTATCAATGCTTTTTGGTTTTACCATTTTATTATTTTATCACAAAAAATGAAATTTTAATAACTTTTTTAAATAAAAAAAAAAAAAGTTTTTAGATTTTTATTTCTGGATTGCAAATATTTTTCCGGAAATCTGAATCAATCAGGAATGTTCAAGATGGTCATTTATCGATTGATCAAATTGCCATACGGATGAATGCATTTTCATCTGAATTAAATATTCCATGGGATGCTGGTGCTGTTGAATATGCATGTGGATGGGAAATAATTATAGGTCAAATTGTAACTAAAATTGATCCAATACAAGTAAATATTAAGTAATTGAATCTCAAAAATTATAAACAAGTAATTAATTTCAATTTTAATTATGAATTTTTAAATGTAAAAACTTTTTAAAGCGATAAATTCAATTAATTCATTTTTAAATTTCGTTTTAATTTAGTAACTTTTGTGTCTAAGAAATAAGAAATTAGTAATTAAGAAATGATAAATTAAATTATAATAAATAAAAAAACAAGTAAATATTAAGTAATTGAATCTCAAACATTATAAACAAGTAATTAATTTCAATTTTAATTATTAATTTTTAAATGTAAAAATTTTTTAAAGCGATAAATTCAATTAATTCATTTTTAAATTTCGTTTTAATTTAGTAACTTTTGTGATTAAGAAATAGAAAGCCAGTAATTAAGAAATGATAAATTAAATTATAATAAATAGAAAAAAACAAATAAATAATTAAATTCGATTTATTGATCAATTTTTAAATGTGAAAATTTTTTAGAATAATAAATTCAATTAATTCATTCTCAAATTTCGTTTTAATTTAATAAACTTTTGTAATAAGTTAACAAATAAAAAAATCAGTAATTGAGAAATTATAACTTAAATTATAAGAAACAGAAATGTTTGCAAAAAAATAAATAATTAATTTCAATTTAATTATCAGTTTTCAAATGTAAATTTTTTTTAGAATAATCAATTCTATTAATTCATTTTTAAATTTCTTTTTAATTTAATAAATTCAAAATCAAAATTTTTAATTTTTTGTGTTAACAAAAAACTCAGTAATTACAAAATGATAAATTAAATTATAATAAACAAAAATATTTTATATTCTATTTGAAAAGCTTACCTTTACAGCATAAATTTTCAATATTTAAATAAATAAATTTTTTTTTAAATTATATTTTTAAATTTTAAAATTAAAAATATTTTGTATTGCAGTTAATTTGTATTGCACAAATGTTGGAAAGTTTTTTGCTATTAATTACAGCAATTGACGAAGAACTTTTAATTCCACAAATGTTAATTTTTCATAATTTTTATATTTCATTTATTAATTTTATTTTTTTCTCATATTATTCCATTTGAATTCATTTTTTTTTTCTAATAAAAAATAAAATAAAACAAAATTTTAAAGAAATTAACGATAGAATTTTTTTAAAAAAGTCACAAAAACTTTTAGTGATGAACTTTTAAAAATAAAATTTCATCGAATTGTCATTTCTAATATTATAATATTAGAAATAGATTTAATTATATAAAAAAAATTTAATTCTTGAAATTTTTACAATATTCGTTGAATAATAATTTGTTATTTATTTCTAATATTATAAATTTGATTTTAATCTTGAAATTTAAAATGCCAGTTAAATAATAAAATGCTATTTATTTCTAATATTACAATATTATTACAGATTTACAGATTTATTATTATGATAAATTTAAATTTATTCATGAAATTTAAAATATTAGTTGAATAATAATTTGTTATTTATTTCTAATATTATTACAGATCTAATTATATAAATTTATTTTTATTCCTGAAAATTAAAATACCAGTAAAATACCAGTTGAATAATATTTAGTTATTTATTTCTGATACTATAATATTATTACAGATTTACAGATTTAATACTATAAATTTATTTTTATTCCTGAAAATTAAAATACCAGTTGAATAATATTTAGTTATTTATTTCTGATATTATAATATTATTACAGATTTACAGATTTATTATTATGACAAATTTAAATTTATTCATGAAATTTAAAATATTAGTTGAATAATAATTTGTTATTTATTTCTAATATTATAATATTATTACAGATCTAATTATATAAATTTATTTTTATTCCTGAAAATTAAAATACCAGTAAAATACCAGTTGAATAATATTTAGTTATTTATTTCTGATACTATAATATTATTACAGATTTACAGATTTAATACTATAAATTTATTTTTAATCCTGAAAATTAAAATACCAGTTGAATAATATTTAGTTATTTATTTCTGATATTATAATATTATTGCAGATTTACAGATTTATTATTATGATAAATTTAAATTTATTCATGAAATTTAAAATATTAGTTGAATAATAATTTGTTATTTATTTCTGATATTATAATATTTTTACACATTTAATATTATAAATTTAATTTTATTCCTGAAATTTAAAATATCAGTTAAATAATTATTAGTTATTTATTTCTAATATTATAATATCATTACAAATTTACAGATTTAATATTATAAATTTAATTTTATTCATGAAATTCACAAAATCAGCTGAATAATAATTTGTCATTTATTTTTAAGATTATAATACTATTATCATACATTTAATTTTATTCTTGAAATTTAAAATATTAGTTAAATAATAATTTCTTATTTATTAATATTATAAAAAATTTTACTGATATTATATTTATTGATATTATGAAAAAAAAATTATAAAAAGTAATCGAAATGCTAAAATATCTGAGCTAAATTTTATAATAAATATGAAATCTTGAAAATATCTCAATAACTTAAAATGAATTTCAATTAAATTATTTAAAAAAAAAAATAAATAAATCATATTAAATCATTATTAAATATTGATTTTAATCTATTAATAATTTTTTGAAATAAAAAATATTTTAAATTCTTTTTAATTATTTTCATACAAAATGTTTACACACAACAAAAGTTGCAAAGAGCTAATTAATTAGTTAATTAATTAATTAATCATTTTTAGTCTTCTGTATGATCTCTCCCGGCACTGTCATTAAAAAATTACTGTTAATCAATTTAATTTAAAGTGCTTTTTTTTTGTTGTTTTTAATTTCAGGTATGATATTTGTCAACATATGAATGATGTGCGCACTTGTCCAATTTCAAATCTTCAATTGATTGATTTGGAAAATCGCGCCCAGAATTGCGAACGAGCTAAAAATGTTCAGTTTTTTTCTGCCTTTTTTTATATATATATATTAAATTTTTAAATTTTAGATATTTAAATTTTGAAAATTTTAAATAAATTTATTTGTTGCTTACATTTAAGCATGAAAATGCTTAAAGAGATCGAATTTTTTGATCAAATGATTTCATATAAATTGACTAATAATTAATTTTGAAATTTATTTCAATGTTTATTGTAAAATTGAAATGCTATCAGTATTATATATTATAACTTTAAAAATGAATTTCATAAAGACATTTTAAATTTAAAATAAATAATAATAAGAGCAAATTAAAATTATTACTTTTGAAATAAAATTTAGTAATATAAATTTAAAATATAATTTGAATAAAATTTTTTCAAATTTTCATTTGAATTATTTTAATAAAATTGCAAAAATATAATAAAAATAAATGGAAAAAAAAATTAATTAATTTGAAATTTATTTCAATGTTTATTGCAAAATTTTAAATGCTATCAGTATTAAATACTATAACTTTAAAATTGAATTTTATAAAGACATTTTAAATTTGAAATAATGATAAGAGCAAATTAAAATTATTATTTTTGAATTAAAATTTAGTAATATAAATTTAAAATATAATTTTAGTAAAATTTTTTCAAATTTTCATTTGAATTATTTTAATAAAATCGCAAAAATATAATAAAAATAAAAGGAAAAAAATTAATTAATTAATTTTTTTTTAGTTAAAATATATTTTATTTCGTGCTAGCATTGATTTGATTAATATTATTATAATGGAAGATTTGGCAATGATATGTATATCAATGGAACCGTGGCGCATATGTACCTGTAACTGTCATGAGTTATCCTTTTGCGCCAGCTTTTTATTTGGTATACTTCAGGTGATAAATATCTATTTTATCACTAAAAATTATCAAATTTTAATCAGTAATCAAAATATTTGTTATATAATTTCTTTTTCTTAATGAAATTTTTATAATTTTGAAAAAAATTAATCGTTTTTTTCCGTTCAAGTGAAAAATATCCATTTTATCATTAAAAATTATCAAATTTTAATCAGTAATCAAAATTTTTTATACAATTTCAAGTGATAAATAATCCTTTTAAGTGATAAATAAAATATCATTAAAAATTATCAAATTTTAATCAGTAATCAAAATATTTGTTATATAATTTCTTTTTTTTTTTTCGTTTTTTTCTTCAAGTGATAAATATTTTTGTAATCAAAATATTTGTAAAAAATTAAACATCTAATCGAAATATTTTTTTTAAATCTTTTTCATAGTGTGATAAATAAAATAGTCGCTTCTTTGCTTTCAAGTGATAAATATCCATTTTATCATTAAAAATTATCAAATTTTAATCAGTAATCAAAATATTTGTTAAATAATTCTTATTTCTTTTTTTTTCTTAAACATAAAATTTTTGTAATTTTGTAAAAAATGTTTTGGTAATTTTAATTACTAATCGAAATATTTGTCATTTACAATAAACATAAAAATCGTTTTTTTCTTTCAAGTGATAAATATCCATTTTATCACTAAAAATTATCAAATTTTAATCAGTAATCAAAATATTTGTTATACAGTTTTTTTTCTTTTTTTCCTAAGTATAAAATTTTTGTAATTTTTTAAAAAATTAATCGTTTTTTTTTCTTTCAAGTGATAAATATCCATTTTATCATTAAAAATTATCAAATTTTAATCAGTAATCAAAATATTTGTTAAATAATTCTTATTTCTTTTTTTTTTCTTAAACATAAAATTTTTATAATTTTGTAAAAAATGTTTTGAATATTTTAATTAATAATCAAAATATTTGTCATTTAATTCTTTTTCCATAAACATAAAAATTTAATAATTTTTTAAATAATTAATCGTTTTTTTTCTTTCAAGTGATAAATATCCATTTTATCATTAAAAATTATCAAATTTTAATCAGTAATCAAAATATTTGTTATACAGTTTTTTTTCTTTTTTTCCTAAGTATAAAATTTTTGTAATTTTTTAAAAAATTAATCGTTTTTTTTTCTTTCAAGTGATAAATATCCATTTTATCATTAAAAATTATCAAATTTTAATCAGTAATCAAAATATTTGTTAAATGATTCTTATTTCTTTTTTTTTTCTTAAACATAAAATTTTTATAATTTTGTAAAAAATTAATCGTTTTTTTTATTTCAAATGATAAATATTCATTTTATCATTAAAAATTATCAAATTTTAATCAGTAATCGAAATATTTGTTATATAATTTCTTTTTCTTAATAAAATTTTTATAATTTTTTTTTTCAGTTAGATATTAAACAATTTATCAAATACTCATTGTACAATGATAATGATAATAAATGGCTTGAATGTGGATCAATTCATTTTCAAGATATCGAATTTGAAATTCGATTACCATTTGCATCTAAAAATTTATATCTTATAAATGAACGAAAAAAATTTCTAAAAATGCATGATGAATATACGAAACGGTTTTGATTTAAACAATTTAATCTAATATTAATTAAATTTGAATTTAAATGAAATGAGAAAAAATTAAAATTTCAAATTTTGATAAAATATAAAAATGCTGAAAATAATTTTTTTTCATTTCTTTTTTTTTCACTTTTAATTGATCTTTAATCTTTAATCTTTGTTAGTTATTTTTTTTTTAAAAAAAAATTTTTTCATCAAAATTTACTAATTCTTCTTGATTAATGTCTAGAAAAAATAATTTTATTTGTTTAACTAGCAGAAAAATTATAATACTTATAAACAAATTGCGAACTTTGTTTTTGTTTTTTGTTTTTTTTTTTTAATTACAATTAAAATTTAATTATAATTAAAATTTGCTATGCTTCCTAACTTTGCTTTGCATTTTACTAACTTTTTTTTTTTAAAATTTGTTTGAAATATTTGTGTAATCTTTTAGATTATATTTTTTATGGTTAAATGAAACTAAATGTGGTTGTTATGGAAGTTTTGCATTTTTTGGCGAAGATGATTTAAGGTAAGAATAAAAAGTTTTTATTTTTCTTTTTTAATTTTAAAAATATGACTTAACTATTTATAATAATTTTATATATGCAAATTTAAAATTAATCAAAAAAGAAAAAAGTTGATTGATGATTTATTAATTAATTATTTATTGTATGAATAATACAATTATTCGTTATCAGTATGTTTGGTGATTAGCTAATCATTTGATAAATGGTATCATCGATGATCTGAAAAGTTACAAATTAGCTAATCATTTGATAAATGGTATCATCGATGATCTGAAAAGTTACAAATTAGCTAATCATTTGATAAATGGTATCATCGATGATCTGAAAAGTTACAAATTAGCTAATCATTTGATAAATGATATCATCGATGATCTGAAAAGTTAGATTAATAGTAATAAAAAAAAAAACAAAATCTTCACATATATATTTCAAAAATCATTTTGATAACTGTTTCACTTATTTAATTTCATTTACTGAAATAATTTGATAAAGTAATTTTCATTTATTGATTTAATTGATAAAAAAAAATTTCATTTATTGGAATAATTTGATAATGAAATTTCATTTATTGATTTAATTGATAAAAAAAAAATTTCATTTACTGAAATAATTTGATAAAGTAATTTTCATTTATTGATTTAATTGATAAAAAAAAATTTTCATTTATTGAAATAATTTTGATAATAAAAATTTTTTACTTTTATTATTTATGTCCTATATTTTGTTTTGGATGAAAAAATTAATAACATTTTAGGCTTTATTTATTTTTTTTTTTTTAAATTTGATTGCTTAATTTGTGCATTTATTTAAATTTTAATTTTTTCATTGATAAAACATTTGGTAAACCATTCAAAAAATTTATCAATTAATTTTATCAGATTTACTCTAAATGATTTTCCCTTTTTTTTTTTTTTTTTTTTTGAAAATACTTAAAATATTTTTTTTTTTACAGTGGTTGCATTTTTATGGCTGATTTTATGCAAAAACTTACACAATCACAAATTAATAATGAACCTAAGCAACCTGGTTTTGGTCAAAGTATCATAGAACCATCAACAAAGTATGTTTAAAAATTTTTATCAAAACTACTTTCATTTGTTTACAAATCAATTTTGAATTTGTTTACAATCGTTCCAATTGTTTACAAATCAATTTTGAATTTGTCTACAATCATTCCAATTGCTTATAAATTAATTTTGAGTTTATTTACAATTCTTTCAATTGTTTAAATTCAATATTCAATTTATTTACAATCTTTGCAAATTATTTATAATTCAATTTTGAATTTGTTTACAATCGTTCCAATTACTTATAATTCAATTTCGAATTTGTTTACAATCGTTCCAATTGTTTATAATTCAATTTTGAATTTGTTTACAATCGTTCCAATTGTTTACAATTCAATTTTGAATTTGTTTACAATCGTTCCAACTGTTTATAATTCAATATTCAATTTATTTACAATCGTTCCAACTGTTTACAATTCAATTTTGAATTTTTATATAATTCCTTTTCCATTCTTTTTTTTAAAGGTTATTTGAAAACAACGATTTAAACATTATTAATTTTTCCAACGAACATAAGGTATTATCATTTTTTTTTCAATTTTAAATTAAATTATAAAATTATAATAATACTTAAGTTTAGCTTTTAGCGTTCTAAAACATTTTTAGCAGAATATGATAAGAAATAAATAAATAAAAATTAATCAATATTAGTGATTAGAGATAACAATGATTAAAATGATTAAAAAGATTAGAGATGATAATAATTAAAATGATTGAAAAGATTAGAGATAACAATGATAACAATATTTATAAAAAAAAAAAAAAAATGAAATAGAATGAACCAAAATTGATTTGCTTAAATTACTTATAATCTAATCAAACAAAAATGAATGAAAACATTGACTATCCTTTGATCTATGTTTTATGATCATTATCAGGTCATAAGGTCAAAAAGTCAAAAGGTCATTAAACTTTGTATGAACGAAAAATTTCATTTTTCCTCCATTACTTCTCAATTTTTCTACTATTAAGTGCTCTGAATTTTAGAATACCATGAATTAATTTGCATAATAATAAAGTTTTACTTTTAAATTAAATTGAATTTTTTAAAGTTAACTTTTGTTTCTTTCAGTATTGACTAGATTAAAATTTAAAATTCCATTTTTTTTTTTTTTTTTAGAAATTAGGGACAGCAATTTGTCCAAGCAGTTCGGATACTTATACAGAAATGACTAAGTCTAAGTGCGCTTCTGGTACACTTCTCGATATTTATCATAATTTTTTAAATATATATCAAATACAGTTCAAAAATAGCACTGCGACAAATGCATCCAATCAATTTAAATTGGTAAATTACCGCCTTTCACATTAATTAGCATAGCAAATTTGATGATAATAATGATAAGCGCAAAAGTCAAAGCTTCTAATTTAATAATTTTGCTGATAATATGATTTAAATTTAAATTGGTAAATTACCGCCTTTCACATTAATTAGCATAGCAAATTTGATGATAATAATGATAAGCGCAAAAGTCAAAGCTTCTAATTTAATAATTTTGCTGATAATATGATTTAAATTTAAATTGGTAAATTACCGCCTTTCACATTAATTAGCATAGCAAATTTGATGATAATAATGATAAGCGCAAAAGTCAAAGCTTCTAATTTAATAATTTTGCTGATAATATGATTTAAATTTAAATTGGTAAATTATCGCCTTCACATTAATTAGCATAGCAAATTTGATGATAATAATGATAAGCGCAAAAGTCAAAGCTTCTAATTTAATAATTTTACTGATAATATGATTTAAATTTAAATTGGTAAATTACCGCCTTTCACATTAATTAGCATAGCAAATTTGACGATAATGATGATAAGCGCAAAAGTTAAAACTTTTAATTCAGTAATTTTACTGATAATGTAATCTAATTATCTAAAAATGTTCTAATTTAATAATTTTACTGATAATATGATCTAATTATCTAAAAATTTTCTAATTAAATAATTTTGCTGATAATATGATTTAAATTGGTAAATTACCGCCTTTGACATTAATTAGCGCAAAAGTTAAAACTTTTAATTCAGTAATTTTACTGATAATATAATCTAATTATCTAAAAATGTTCTAATTTAATAATTTTACTGATAATATGATCTAATTGTCTAAAAATTTTCTAATTAAATAATTTTGCTGATAAAATGATTTAAATTTAAATTATTAAATTACCGCCTTCACATTAATTAGCATAGCAAATTTGATAATAATATAATAATGATAAGCGCAAAAATCAAAGTTTTTAATTTTAGAATTTTACTGATAACGTAATCATTTATCTTAAAATTTTTCTCATTTAATAATTTTACTGATAATATGATCTAATAATCCAAAAATGCACTATTTTGATACTTTTACTGATAATATAATCTAATTAACTAAGAGTTAAAAAGAAAAAAAAAGCAGTAGTGGAATAAAAAACTTAAATACTAAAAAATCATTAAATATTTATATTAAAACAAAATGCATTTCAAATATTTTTAATTTTCATTCTTTCCATAAATTATTAATTGCAACATTAATATCTTATATGATCAACAATTTGTTCAATTAATTAATTACTAATTAATATTTAATAAAATATTTTATTAAATATTTTGTGATAAGTAATTTTTTATTAAGTAATATTTATTTGAAAATATTTATAGATTCGAAATGGTATTAATAATTTACATTTAATTGATACAAAATTAGAAAATAAAAGTAAGGAGAATAATAATTCACCAAAAGAAGAAATGTCACAATCAATATCGCATCATTCTCGAAAAATGCAAATGAGTTCATCGTATAATCAACGACCTTTGAACTGGGGCATTGACCCCAAAGTTATTTATGGTTGGGGTAATATTTCTTCAATAACAAAGGTCATTCATTCATTCATTTGTTTTTCTTATTTTTTTCCTTTTGATAAATTTAATTTTTGTTTGAAAATATTTATTAAATTTTTGAATTGAAATATAAACAAATAATTTTAATGTTTTTTTTTAAAGTTTTACTTACATTCATATCAGATTTTTCAAATTAAAATTATCAAATTAAATGTTAAATTAAAAAAAAAAATTAAATATCAAATTTTTGCGGAATACTTTTAGTTTTTTACATATTTTATTGCAATTAATTTGAATACTTTGCATTATTACTAATTATTATTAACTAATACGATTAATATTTTATAAATTTTTAATTGAAATATTTTAGTTAAATACTTAATAGAATATTTGCTAGTGACAAATAAATTTCATTGTTTATAATATTTATTAAATTTTTTAAATTGAAATATAAGCAAAAAATTTTAATGTTTTTTTTTTTGAATTTTACTAGAATATACTTTTTTATATCAAATTTTTGTAGAATACTTTTTTTTTTAAATGTTTTATTACTATTTGTTGAATACTTTGCATTATTACTAATTTTTGTTAACTTTACTATTATTATTGTATTATTTTTTAATTAAAATATTTTAATTAATATTTAATAGAATATTTGTTAGTATTACTTAGTGATAAGTAATTTTTATTGAATAATGTTTATTCAAATATTTTTAGGTTATCATATAATTATTAATTATTGTTCACTATTACAGTTAATTATTGCTATTATTAAAATATTTACTAGTAAATTCAAATTATTTATTTAGTTAATATTCAACAAAATACCTGTTAGTATTACTTAGTGATAAGTAATTTTCATTGAGTAATGTTTATTTAAAATTTTATTTAGAAAAAGTAATGTTTATTGTTTGTTTAAAATAATATTTGTAGGTTATTGTATAAAATTATTAAAGTATTTACCAGTAAATTAAAATTATTTATTGTCGTCGTATATTTTTTTTTAATTATTTTAATTAATATTTAATAAAGTACTTATTAGCATTACTTAATGATAAGTAATTTTTATTGAGTAATGTTTATTTAAAATTTTATTTAGAAAAAGTAATGTTTATTGTTTATTTAAAATAATGTTTGTAGGTTATTGTACAATTATTAATTATTATTAACTATTATAATTAATTATTATTATTAAAGTATTTACTAGTAAATTAAAATTATTTATTATCTCATATATTTTTCTTTAATTATTTTAATTAATATTTAATAAAGTACTTGTTAGCATTACTTAGTGATAAGTAATTTTTATTGAGTAATGTTTATTTAATATTTTATTTAGAAAAAGTAATGTTTATTGTTTATTTAAAATAATATTTGTAGGTTATTGTATAATTACTAATTATTATTATTAAAGTATTTACTAGTAAATTAAAATTATTTATTATCGTCATATATTTTTCTTTAAATATTTTAATTAATTTTAATAAAATACTTCTTAGTATTGCTTAGTGATAAATAATTTTTATTGAGTAATGTTTATTTAAAATTTTTATTTAGAAAAATTAATGTTTATTGTTTATTTAAAATAATATTTGTAGGTTATTGTATAACTATTGATTATTATTAACTATTATAATTAATTATTATTAAAGTATTTACTAGTAAATTAAAATTATTTAATTACTTTTTAAAATAGATCTTTCTTACACCACTAAGTATCGAAGTAATCCAACGACTTACGGAACGAGCGGAAATGATTTTAACAGCGCTTAATCCAATTTCAATAATACAACATACCTATGCTTTATGTGCTTTCAAATGTCATAAACAACCAATTAATGAGAAAAATAATCTTTTCATTCAAGGTAAATTAACTTTTTATTTATTTTCAAAAAAAATTACTATTTAAAAGTTTTAATTTTAATTTTAAACTTTAAATTTATTTCTTTCATTTCAAATACTTGATATTTTAACTATGGCTAAAGTTTACTTTTTACTTATTTAACTTACTATACAACCAAAGTAAATTAACTTTTTATTTATTTTCAAAAAAAATACTATTTAAAAGTTTTTATTTTAATTTTAGTTTTTTTCAATTTTAATTTTAAACTTTAAATTTATTTCTTTCATTTCAATTATTTGATATTTTAACTATGGCTAAAGTTTACTTTTTACTTATTTAACTTACTATACAACCAAGGTAAATTAACTTTTTATTTATTTTCAAAAAAATACTATTTAAAAGTTTTTATTTTAATTTTAGTTTTTTTTCAATTTTAATTTTAAACTTTAAATTTATTTCTTTCATTTCAATTATTTGATATTTTAACTATGGCTAAAGTTTACTTTTTACTTATTTAACTTACTATACAACCAAGGTAAATTAACTTTTTATTTATTTTCAAAAAAAAATTACTATTTAAAAGTTTTAATTTCAATTTTAAATTTTAAATTTATTGCTTTCATTTCAATTATTTGATATTTTAACTATGGCTAAAGTTTACTTTTTACTTATTTAACTTACTATATCAATCAAGTACTGATATATAATTAACAGTAAATGTATTTTAGATTCATTATTACCTGAAGTAAATGCGCATTTTGGTTTACCACCTGTTTACATAACATTTTTCCAAGGAGCTCGTATTGATGATGAATTGCTAAGAAATAATGCAAATAAGGACAATTGCGCCCGCTCTACCAAAATGCATTGTACAGTTACGATGATTTATGGCCGAGAATGCTATTTAAATGTTTTCACAAATAATCAAAATGTAGGATTGATAAGTTAATTTAATTTATTTTTATTTCATTTAAAAAAAAATTTTTTTTCTTCCAAAAAAAAAAAAGAAAAGAAATTTAAACTGAACGAATTACTTTTATTTGTTACTATTATTGTTCAAATGATTTTGTTTAAAATTTATTTTCTTATTTACTGTTTATTTTTTTTTAAAAAAAAAGTTTACTTCTAGTTTACTTTTTTTTTAAAAAAAGAAAGTAAACAATAATATTAATAAAATAACAATTAAAATGATTATACAATGATAGAAAAAGATAAATGTTTTTGAAATTTAATTTTTTTTTTTAAAAAAATAAATTATAGAATATGCAAATGATATGCTTTGATACATATACACTTTATCATGCGCAATTTGCTAAAATTGTTTATACACGAGAAAAAAAACGATTTATGGATAATTGGAAAACAAATTTTTTAACAAATTGGGACAAATTAGATTTATCAAAACGTTTACGACATAGTAAATTAATCATTCTTAGTGGTAAATTATTTTCTTATCAATTAATTTTTGTTTTTTTTAATTTTTCATTTCTTTTTCTAAAAGAGATATTTACATGTACATTTAAAGAAAAGTTAAAAAATTTTTAGTTTTACTTTTTTTGAAAAAAAAAAAAAATTTTGTTGTTTTTGAAAATGTCGTGTAAATGGCGGAAAGCATAGAATTGAAAAACTTTATGATTTTTAAATAATAATTCAACTGTATCAAAATATGATTTAGCATTAAGCATATAACGATGCTAATCATTGGTAATGATAATTACCAATGATAATTATGATGATTATGATAATTATTATCAATCTGATATCATTTAGCAATAAACAAACATATAGTGATATTAGATCAAAAGATGCAGAAATTGTTTGGTAATTGAGAAAGCATAAATAGTGCTTCATAAATAATAGTAATGATGATGATAATGATGATAATAATAGTAATAATGACGATGATAATAATAATGACAATAAGAATTGCTATTAGTAAGACATACGTTTTTTCATTGTAATAATAGTAACAAAAATAATATTAATAATAATGATAATGATGATAACAATGTAAGACATAAGTTTTTTTTAATAGTAATAATAATAATGGTATTAATAATAATAATAATATTAGTGATAATGGCGATAAAAATTGCTATTGATAATGCATACCCTTTTTATTAGTTATAATAGTAAAACTATTACTAAGATTAATAATAATAATAATGGTAATGATGATAACAATTGCTATTGATAAGATATACATTTTTTATTATCAGTAAAGTTGATAAATATGAATGATTTACTATAATACAAATAGTTTAAATTTTATTTTCGTTATCATTATTCATTTCTTATCATTAAATTTGAATGATAAACTATTAAGAAAGCGAAATTTTTATAATATTGAAAATTTAAAGAATTAAATTTTCATTTTTAATTTCTTCTCTCTCTCTCTCTCTCTCTTTTCACTTATCTATCACTTTTGCTTTTTAAATTTTTATATTTTATTGTAGAATTAAATGTGCCAAATATTTTGCTAAAAGGTTTTATCAATCGACAAAATTTACTCCATTGGATTAATGGTAGTGAAATTATCATTCGTACTGGTGAGCCACGCTTAAGAATCTCTTCGGGTGATGAATGCTTGGATAAACAAAGGTTTCAAATTATTTAACTTTTCATTTTAATTATATTAAATTAAATTTTAATTATGTTTTTAATTATATTAAAAAAGAAAAAATGAATGAGTAAGTTGATTAGATTAATATTTCTTACTTTATTATTTTATTTTTTTCAAACGTACTTTTCAAATGCATTCACGTAAGACATTACACGTATATCATAATTATTTCCAGAAAGAAGAGATTTTTAATGAATTACGTCTTTTTATTATCACGTGATATTACACGTATATCATAATTAATTCCAGAAAGAAGAGAACTTGAGAATTTTAATGAATTACGTCTTTTTATTATCACGTGATACTACACGTATATCATAATTAATTCGAGAAAGAAGAGTGTTTGAGAATTTTAATGAATTACTTTTATTATTATTATATTATCACGTGACATTACAAAAGAAGAGAGATTTTTAATGAACTACTTTTTTTTATTATCATTATTATCACGTGATATTACACGTATATCATAATTAATTCCGGAAAGAAGAGAACTTAAGATTTTTATGAATTATTTCTTTTATTATTATTATTGAATGTTTGCAAATAATAGTTAATTTTTAATTAAATTAAATCATAACTAAAATTTTTTTTTAAATGATATTTTAGCGATATAATATTACTAAAGTTAGCTGTAGCATCATCATTAATATCTTGGTTTCACGTATTACGTCAATTTCAAAAATCAATTCATCATACATTAGTGAAATATAATGAATGGCTTGATTTATGCATGTTAAAAGCATTAAGTGAAGCATTGGATTTACGCGATGATTTGGTTTGCATTTTAAAATTTAAAACTTTATTGGTTTGCATTTTAAAATTTAAAACTTTTTTTTTTTTCAAAAATTGAATGAAAAAAAAAAAGATAAATTTAGTAAATTAAAATTACTTAATAATTTTATATAAAAAGAAATTCGCTCTTTTTTTTCTGCTCAAAAAAATTTTGCAAAAAAAAAACAAAAAACAAAATTTTAGATTAATTAATTTTAGATTTTAACATTATGTAAAAGTTCATTAAATGATGTAAAACGCTATGCAATGGTAATGAATGCATGTGCAAGCTGCATGCTAATGCATTTCTTATTGCATTGCACAATGAATAAGGATGAAAATGAAAGATTTAATTATTGGATGAATCATTCATTTGATTTTGAATCGATCACTAATTCAAGATTTGATCGAAAATTTGCATTAATTTCATTATTGAATTTATGGCATCAATTACTTGCACCACATGTTAAAGTTATTCTTTAATCATTGATAGTAATAATAATCGGAAATGAATGTTTAAACCGGTTTTTGATCATTCCTAATAAATTTAATCAATCAGTAGGAAAGATATATTTTATTGTTAAACATAAAATATTTGCATAAAATGATTTAAATTTGATTTAAAATATTATTATTCATTAATAATGGATGATATTTTAGCATAGTTTGTGGAATATTTTCACAATTTAAAAATCTAAAAATTTTAATTTTTATATTTTTCACTTTGTATTAATTTCATTATTGAATTATTTGTACAAAATTGTATATCTAATTTTAATTTAGGCTTAGAATCTAGTTTTATACTAATTTAATTTATTCTAATTTTATCAAAATTTATTAAAAATTAATTATCGCAGTAGTTTTTATTTATCAGCATAAAATTTTGATATTTAATTTCTAAATTTAATTTTAAATTATCTAAATTTAAAATTATAGGTTAGTAATTTGGCGACAGCTAAAAAATATTCTCGAGATTTACCATCTGAAAATATGAAATCAGTGACAGCTGCTGGTGAAGATAAATCAATGAAGCAAACTACAGGAACAACCGTATCGATTCCGGTTTCCGGTTCTATAGCAAATTCAGGTGTTAAAGGTAAAATCAGAATTAGCAGAACTGAAACTGATAAATTTAAAATTGAAAAACAACTATGCTAATATTATTTTAAAAAAATAAATTTGTGATAATTTTTTTTTTTAGGTATAACTGAAAATCTTACAGTGAAACAATTCAATACTTTACCGTCTATATTTTTTTGGCCTATCTTTAAGGTATAATTAAAATTTGATTATAAAATTTTTATTTTTCGGATGATTATGAGAATATTTTACTAAATAATAATTTAGATATTAATTTTTTGAATAAAAAGTTTGAACAAAAAATATTTTTTATGGCATTTTAATAAAATTTAAATTAAATTAAATAAACTGTTAATTTGTAATTTATTATTTTATCATTATCATTCATATTTAACATTTTAAAATTTTTCGTTTAAAATATTCCATTACAATTTAGATCAAATAACTATAAAAAAATTAAAATAAGAAATAATTTAAAAAAAAATTTTTTTACTTAATAATTTCAATATTTCAATGCATTATGATAAATCATATATTTATCATAATTTTTCATTTTAAATGATTAATTTAAAATTAATTTTGATTAATTTGCAGATTTATCATTTAGATACAAATATTTTATTTAAATTACCAGTTAAAAGAATTCATTTTTCATTCAAATTTATGATTGGAGAGTTTAAGGTTTATAATTAAAATTTTTTTTTCTCAACTTTTTTAATTTATTTAATTCATTTTGAATTATATTAATGTGACAATGCAATTAACAAACAAAATTTCCAATTTTAAGCAAAGTAATATAATGGAAAAAAGTATTTTAAAGGAAGTAATATTTAATTTAAATTAATCTAAAAATTCAAATATTATAAAATAATTGAAAAAATTTGTTTACTATTAGCTTCAAGATAAACAACAAGAAGGAAAGTAGAAATAAATAGGATTGGTTTGTGGGGAATAATTCTAAAATAATTAAAAATTAAATTAAACAGATTTATTCGTCAAAGTTACTAATTGTCATTTTGGAGTAATAAATAAATTTTCATTTTCAAAATTAACAAATTTTAGAAATATTTATCTTTTAAAATTACTATAAATTTTATTTTTTTTTGTAATCAAAAAAAAAAAGAAGGAAAACCGGAAATGCTTTATTAAAATTAAAAAAATGCAATTAAAAATTTTACCAATTTATAAAATTTTACCAATTTATTTGTAGCAAAAACTTATTTAAAATTTATTTATTTAAAAATTTCATATAATTTTATAAAATAATAATAAATTTTTTATTTTTTTAGATATATTTAGTTGAATTAATAAGAAAAAAAAATCAAACAATTCAACAACAATCATTTTTATTCTTACTTTTGGATACGATAACTGTTGATTCAGCAATTATTTATAATATTTTAATGGATAATCAACAATTGAATGCAATAAAGTAAATTAAAAATAATTTAAATTTTTTCTTTCTTAAAAAAATAATTTAAATTTTAGAAATAATTTTTATTCAAATAATAATTATATTCATAATTATTAATTTTGCTATTCTCATAAATTAATTATTTCAAAAAAAAAAAAAAATTTACTAATTACCAATGAAAACTAAAATTAAAGATAAACTGACCAAATAATTTTTAATTCTGAAATAATTCAATAAAATGACAACAAAAAAAATAAATAAATAAACGCTGAAGATTTAATTTGAAAATTATATGACAAAAATTATTAATCAATAATAATTTAAATTTATTCAATTCAACTATTACTTTTTCATATGCTAATTTCTAATGCTAATATACTACAATAATTTTTATAATTGAAAATTTGCTACTAACCTAATTAAACTTTCATAAATTTTTAATTTAGATAAAATTAATTAACAAAAAAATTAAATTTTACGTTTAATCGCAATTTTGTCATTTTTTAAATTTTAGATTAAAAGTGGAAAATTATTATTAAATTAATTGTTGAATATAATTCCTTTTAAAAAATTAGAACAAATAAAAAACAAAACAAAAAAAAAATTTTTTTTATTAAATTAATTGTTGAATATAATTCATTTTAAAAATGAAAATAAATATTTGAAAAAATAAAGTTTTGCTTTTTTTTTTAAAATTTTAATAAAATTTATCAATTTAATTTTTAGTCTTTCATTTCCTCCACTTTTTTTCAGGACATTTTTAACAATAAACTTTGAAACGCTTTTTCCACGCATTGAATTATTTTGTACGCAAACAGTTTTGCATTTGCTAAATGAATTATTTCAAAGTGTCGCATACTGTATGACAGTAACACCTACCGTAACCTCAGTGATTCATTTGGATGACACACAAAATTCGATTAGTAAAACAGCTGAATCAGTTATTGTTGAAAATAGCGAACGAAAACAGCAAAAATGGATTGTGACATTGTTAAATTTGTTTCGAAAAAACAAAATGAATAAGTTTGTGTTTAATTTGTTTTAATTAATTAATTTTTAATTTTAATAATTAGTAATTGACCACCCGTACATTGATAATTGTTGAGTTAATTGATTAATTTATCTATATCTATCTACCTGGTCGATCTATCTGATCTATCTATATCTTTGATCTATCTGATCCATCTCTCTAATCTATCTATCTCTTTAATTTATCTGATCTATCCATCTGATCTATCTATTCTCTATTCTATCTGATCCATCCATCTGATCTGTCTATCTGATCCATCTCTCTGATCTATCTCTTTCGTTTATCTGATCCAACTCTCTGATCTATCTATCTCTTTGATTTATCTGATCTACCCAGCTGATCTGTCTATCTGATCCATCTCTCTGATCTATCAGGTCTATCTACCTGATCCATCTGATCTATCTGATCCATATCTCTAATCTATCTATCTCTTTGATTTATCTGATCTATCCATCTGATCTATCTATTCTCTATTCTATCTGAATCATTCATCTGATCTGTCTATCTAATCCATCTCTCTGATCTATCAGATCTATCTGACCCAACTGATCCATCTATCTCTCTGTTCTATCCGATCCATCTATCCAATTTATCTCTTCGATTTATCTGATCTATCCATTTGATCCATCTATATATCTGATCCATCTCCCTGATCTCATCTGATCTATCTACCTGATCCATCTGATCTATCTGATCCATCTCTCTAATCTATCTATCTCTTTCATTTATCTGATCCAATTCTCTAATCTATCTCTTTGATTTATCTGATCTATCCATCTGATCTATCCATTCTCTATTCTATCTGATCCATCTCTCTGATCTTTCAGATCTATCTAACCCAACTGATCCATCTATCTCTTCGATTTATCTGATCTATCCATTTGATCCATCTATCTATCTGGTCCATCTCTCTGATCTCATCTGATCTATCTACCTGATCTATCTGTTCTATCTATCTGATCCATACTGAATTATGCATATTTAATTATCTTCAAATATATTTATTTATTATATTTAATTATCTTCAAATTGAAATATCTGAATTATTATCGTTTTAGTATGTTTAGCAATTTTCATATTTAATGAAATTTTAATTTTCTCATCATTTTACAAGTGATCGTTTGATTTATCCTAAATTTCAATTTGCAACGGTAAAATAAATTTACAAAATAAATTCATAAACAATTATGATCAGCAATGAGAAATTAATTATAATCTTATAGGAATGAATTATTTGTAATTTTAAAATGCTTTTTTTTTAAAAAAAAAAAAATTATCATTTATTTTTCAGTGAAAAGATTGAAAAACTAAAATCAAACATTGCAAATTTTTCAATTACCATTAATAATAATATTATTATTTCTGCAATCAAATTTGAATCAAAAATTATGCATCTGATCTTGATGTTACGAATTTTCAATAGTAAAGTAAGTTATTAAAATTATTAAAATATTTAAATAATCATATAACTTTATAATATCTCACAAATACGTTTGATAAATTTTAAAACAACTTTTAAACTTATTTCTAAAATAATAATATTATATTTTTGGATAAAAAATTAAAAGTTATATATGTAATTTTTATTATCAATTCATCAAATATTCATTAATTTCTAGTTATTTCTAAGAAAATTACTTAAATTTACTTTTTATATTATAATCAAAATTAACAAAAGAAAAAAAAATTAAATTGATCATTTGATTAAAATTTTAATTAAAACATATAAATATGCAAATTTAGTGAATTATTTCAGCCTAATAAAATTAAATTGAAATAATTTAGTAAAAAAAAAAATTAAATTAATTAAACAGTTTGATAGAAATAAAAATTAATAAATTGTAGCTACAACACAACAATGCATATCTTATAAATGAACCAAAAAAAACAATTCAAGAAGTTTCAATTGCAATTCAAGATATTAAAATGATGATAACCGAGAAGGGAACAACTGATATAAATATTTTTCATGGATCGCTTACTACTGTTACGAGTACATTTCGAAGGTAAAATAGTAAATTTAAAATAAATTTAAGTATTAATTTTTCCTTTTTCCCTTTTTTTTTTGTTCCGTAAAAAGACAAAAAGAAGTAATTTAATTAAATTTAAAGTTTAATTTTGTTAATGATATCAAAAAGAAATTAATAACAATATTTTGGGAAAATTTTGAAAATAAAGCGAAATTGTATAATAATAATAAAAATTTGAAATAAATTTAAATATAGTTGTAATTTTTTTTTTTGCTCCATACAAAGACAAGAAATGATTTAATTAAATTTAAAGTTTAATTTTGTTAATGATATCAAAAAGAAATTAATAACAATATTTTGGGAAAATTTTGAAAATAAAGCGAAATTGTATAATAATAATAAAAATTTGAAATAAATTTAAATATAGTTGTAATTTTTTTTTTTGCTCCATACAAAGACAAGAAATGATTTAATTAAATTTAAAGTTTAATTAATAATGATATCAAAAAGAAATTGATAGCAAAATATTTTGAGAAAAATCTCAAAATAAATAATTTTCATTATTTTACAATTTTACATATTTTAATTTTCGTTATTTTTACAATTTTATAACTTTATTTATAACAAATTTTATAACTATAACTGAAATTTTATAACACTATTTAGCAATTTTAATTTTACAATTTGATTTATTAACTGAAGTATTAATTTAAAAAGAAAAAAGTAGTATATAAGTATATAAAATCGAATGTATTAAAGCTCTTTAAAAAAAAATTTTTTTTTTTTCAAAACAAAAGTTTTTTTTTTCTTTTAAATAATTGAATTTTTAGATTGTATGAAGCGAACAATTTATTAAATACTATTTGTTTGACTGTGGAAAATATAAAATTAAATTACATTATTGGAAGTTCATTTATGATAAAAGCAGATGATAAGATATATAGTGATAACGATGATAATGATAAGGAAGATTATCAATTTGCAGTAAGTTAATACTCTTAAAACTTTCGCTAATATAATGGATTATTATTTATATTTAAAACAAGAATTAATGATTAAAATTTTAATATCATTTTATTTGGCTGTGAAATTTCACTTTAATATTTTAAAATATATAATAAATTCATTCATGAATTTAATTTTTATATATATTTAAAAAACAAATATTAAAAAATAAATTTGTGCTAGAATTTCATTATAAGTTGTTAAAGTGATAAAATACATTTATCTCTTAGCATTTAATTAATTATAATTTGAAAATGTTTAATTAATTTTTATTTGAAATATTTTTTTTGTAAAGTTTTGCTTAATTAATCAAATTAATTGTATAAAAGAAGAAATAAGATAGCATGATAGGCAATTAAATTTGTGATAATTTTGATAAGCAAATGATTAAGCTTTCATTTAAACTTTAAATTTATACTTCAATTTTTTTTCCAAATTTTGTAATTCATTTATTTTCATCAATTTTTTTATTATATTAATTCATAAAAAAGAAATTTTCTCAAAATTTTAAAATATCTCTAAAAAGCTGAATTAGCTTCTATTTATCATTTTGGTTTTTTTTTTTGTTCAAAATAAAATGTCAAACAAACAATAAAAAAAAAATAAAAATAAAAATAAATAAATTCAAAATAACTATGAAATAATCATTAATGGTGGAATAAATTTAGGATAAAGTTTTAAAATTATTTAAAAAAATGAAAAGGAAAGAAAAAAACAAAAAAAAATCAAACAAACAATCAAAAAAATAAAAATAAAAATAAATAAATTCAAAATAACTATGAAATAATCACTAATGGTGCAAAAAATTCAGGATAAAATTTTAAAATTATTTAAAAAAAAAATGAAAAGGAAAGAAAAAAAATTAATTTTTTCAATATTGTGCTCTTTCTCAAGCGTGATCAAACTTATCTGATTATCACTCTTATCAATCATTATCATATATTAATTATTATCTTTATCAGTGGATGATAAATTTCTATATTACAGTCTTCAATAGCTGAACAACAATGGATTAATGAAAATGAAAACATTACAAAGTTTAATTTTGATATGAAATTATTACATGGAGAAATGAATGCTAAAATTTCATCAAATGTTACAGCAAAATATAATTTCAAAAATGCGCATTGTTTTGGAACTTTGTAAGCAATGTTTTCTTCTTTTTTTTTAAGTTATTTTATTTGTTTATTTTAATATTTTCAAATTTATTAATAAATAATTTTATAAAATAGAAAATTTTGAGTTAAAATTTATATCAATAAAATATGAAATTAAATATAGGAAACTATGTTTTCTTCTTTTTTTTTAAAGTTATTTTATCTGTTTATTTTAATATTTTCAAATTTATTAATAATTAATTTTATATAATAGAAAATTTTGAGTTAAAATTTATATCAATAAAATATGAAATTAAATATAGGAAAGTATGTTTTCTTCCTCTCTTTTTTTAAGTTATTTCATTTGTTTAATTTAATATTTTCAAATTTATTAATAAATAATTTTATGTAATAGAAAATTTTGAGTTAAAATTTATATCAATAAAATATGAAATTAAATATAGGAAATTATGTTTTCTTCGTTTTTTTAAGTTATTTTATTTGTTTATTTTAATATTTTCAAATTTATTAATAAATAATTTTATGTAATAGAAAATTTTGAGTTAAAATTTATATCAATAAAATATGAAATTAAATATAGGAAACTTTTTCAAAAAATTGAAATATTATATGATATAAATTAGTATTTTTATTTATAAAAGAAATTAATAAATATTAGTTAACAAAATGCTAAATTTTTTAAGTACTATAAATATTTTTTTAATTTCTATCAAACTATATTTTTGTCTGTTTTCTTTTTATTTCTTTTTATTAATTTATTATTTTATCTGATTAATATGAATATACACCAATTTAATACCATATATTAATTTTTAGGTAAATTTAAAAATTAATTTTAGTCCTAAAAAAAGGCAAAATATCAATTGAAAATCATTTTATCACATCATTTTAGCAATAATTTATTACCTTATATTAATTTTAGGCAAATTTAAAAACTAATTTTACTTCCAAAAAAGGTAAAATATCAATTGAAAATCATTTTATCACTTTGTACACATATATTTTATCACATTAAAATCATTTTATCAGTTTATCACATGAAAGTCATTTTATCATTTTATCACATATACACATATACTTTATCACATATACATCATTTCAGAATTAATTTAATACCTTATATTAATTTATATCATTTTGAGTCCCAAAATTCAATCATTTTATGAAAAATGAAAATGATATATATGTGTAGAAGTGATAAAATGATCTTCAATTGATATTTAAGTAATTTTTTTTAAGTAATTTATTTATTACCTTATATTGATTTTAAGTAATTTTAAAAACTAATTTCAGCCCCAAAAAAGGTACAATATCACATGAAAGTCATTTTATCATTTTATCATTTTATCACATATAAATCATTTTAGCAATAATTTATTAACCTTATATTGATTTTAGACAAATTTAAAAATTAATTTTCAGTCCTCAAAAGGGTACAATATCAATTGAAAATCATTTTATCACTTATACATCATTTTATTCCAAAAAAATACCAAAATGGATGCGATTAGGAAATTTTTCCATTAAATTACCATCATTATTGATTGTATATGAGAAATGTATAAAAAATGAAAATGAAATTATTCAAATTGATAATAAACAAATTATATGCTCTAATGAATCATATGCTAATATTGTTATCACTGCTGGTAAGTAAATCTTTTCTGTTGTATGTGAATATTAATCAGTGATTAACTTTGATAGAATTTAGGAAAAGAAGTAAAGTTAACTCTAAAGATAAAGAAAGAAATATGAGAAGCTTTATGATAAAAGTATGATAATAATGAATTAATCAGTACTAGTATGATAACAATGAATTAATCAGTACTAGTATGATAACAATGAATTAATCAGTACTAGTATGATAACAATGAATTAATCAGTACTAGTATGATAACAATGAATTAATCAGTACTAGTATGATAACAATGAATTAATCAGTGCTAGTATGATAACAATGAATTAATCAGTACTAGTATGATAACAATGAATTAATCAGTACTAGTATGATAATAATAAATTAATCAGTACTAGTATGATAACAATGAATTAATCAGTACTAGTATGATAACAATGAATTAATCAGTATTAGCATGATAATGACGATTTAATCAGTAATCAGTTTTATTTATTCAATAAACTTTTATGCTAAAATTATGCTAATAAAAGAAATCATTACAAAAAAATAAAGAAAAAAGTATGAAAAACTTTATGATAAAATTATGATAACAATGAATTAATCAATACTTACTTGTTTTTATTTGTTTAATAAAATTTTATACTAATGTTATACTGATAAAAAAAATCATTGTAAAAAGTAAGGAAACAAATACGAGAATGATAACAACGAATTAATCAGTAATCAGTTTATTTATTTAACAAACTTTTATACAAATATTATGCTAATAAATTTTTATAAAAAATGAACAAGAAAATGTGAGCAAATTTTATGATAAACAAATGATAACAATCAATTAATCAGTATTTACTTGTTTTTTATTTATTTAACAAACTTTTTTACTTATATTTTATTTATTTAACAAACCTTTTTACTTATATTTTATTTATTTAACAAACTTTTTTACTTATATTATATATTAAACTTTTATACTTATATTAGAAGTGATAATATTATAATAAATAATATAAATTTATCATTTAGGAAGTTTTGATCAATCAATCAATACCGATGTTTTAAATATGTTACTTTATTCGCATGAAACAGCAATTGCTGAATTTGAACATATTATGAGTATTGTACGTAGTTCAACTGCATTTCATCGAAATTCAATTTATAATTCATCGTTTCTTTTTCAATTACAAGTATTAAATTTGATTTATTTATTAATTTTAACATTTTTTTTTTCATTTTTTAAAAAAAAATAACCATATGATAGTGAAAATTAAAAAAAAAACAAACGAAAGGTAATTAAATAATTGAAAAGAAATCACATTTTTTTGCTATTTTTAATGTCTATTAATTTAACAGAAAATTAAATTCACAAAAATTTCTTCGAGAAATAAAAATTATTTTCAATGAATTAATTTGGTTACAAAAAAAAAAAAAAAAAGTGAATTTAATTTTGCTACGATATTCATTTTAATGATAGCATAAAAATGAAATAATTAAAAATTAAAATTTTATAATTAAATTGGAGTAATAATTAAAAATTTTGATTTATGTGTTCAATGATTACTTCAAAAAAAAAAAGAAATAGTAAAAAATATTTTTAAATAAAATTATAATTTTTAATTTGATAGCATAAAAGTAAAATAATTAAAAATTAAAATTTTATAATTAAATTGGAGTAATAATTAAAAATTTTGATTTATATGTTCAATGATTACTTCAAAAAAAAAAAGAAATAGTGAAAAAATATTTTTAAATAAAATTTTTAATTTTTAATTTTAAGATACAATGTGAAAATGTTTCACCATGGTTAAAATTAACATTAACTGATACAACTAATACAGCATTACGTATTACAACCGAAGTTGTTAATATGTTTATTATTGGTCGAAATATTTTAAATAATAATAAGAATATTTTTGAGGTTAAATTTTTCATTGCATATTTTTTTTTTTTTTTTTGTATTAAACAAAAAATTAAATTTAACACTTAAATTTTAAATGATAATTGGTAAAATTTGTCACAGAAAATTGCCATATTAATATATTTTTGACGAATGCTATTTAATGATTATTTTATTAATTAATTAAAAAAAAAATACAAGAAAGCATTGTTAATAAGTTGTTACGTCTTTTACGCTTACTTTTGACGTTTATAACGTTTATACTGTTTTTAAAACGTACTTTTAATATTTTGAAAGATTGAAGGAGAAAATGAAAAGCCATATTATTATATTTTTGACGATTGCTATTTATTATATTATTAATTAATTAAAAAAAAAATACAAGAAAGCATTGTTAATAAGTTCTTACGCTTTTTACGCTTACTTTTGACGTTTATAACGTTTATACTAATTTTAAAACGTACTTTTAATATTTTGAAAGATTGAAGAAGAAAATGAAAAGACATATTATTATATTTTTGACGAATGCTGTTTATTAATTATTAATTAATTTTAAAAAAAGCAAGAAAGCATTGTTAATAAGTTGTTACGTTTGTTACGCTTAATTTTGACGTTGATGACGTTTATACTATTTTAAAACGTACTTGTAATATTTTGAAAGGTTGAGAAAGAAAATGAAAATTACAGTTATAAACAGATACGAGGTAATGACAAGAAAGCATTGCTAATGACTTGTTACGCTTGTTACGCTTAATTTTGACGTTGATGACGTTTATACTTTTTTTAAAGCGTACTTTTAATCTTTTGAAAAATTGAAGGAGAAAATGAAAATTACAGAAACAGATATGAGGTAATAACAAGAAAGCACTGATAATAACTTGTTACGTTTGTTACGTTTAATTTTGACGTTGATGACGTTTATACTATTTTTAAAGCGTACTTTTAATCTTTTGAAAAATTGAAGGAGAAAATGAAAATTACAGAAACAGATACGAGGTAATAACAAGAAAGCACTGATAATAACTTGTTACGTTTGTTACGCTTAATTTTGACGTTGATGACGTTTATACTATTTTTAAAGCGTACTTTTAATCTTTTGAAAAATTGAAGGAGAAAATGAAAATTACAGAAACAGATACGAGGTAATGTATCGTTTTGTTTGAATTTCAAACTTGGACATATGATTCGAAATGAAGCATTTGAGGAAGATGAACTTCGAGAGTTAGCTGATCTTACAACTAATGTTTGTGTTTTAAATTTTAAATTTTAATTTTAAATTCATTAATATCATTTCTTATACGCTTCAACTATTTGATAAATCAGTCATAATTTGTTATAATTTTGCTAATTAAATTATATTATCAAATTATCAGCTTTATGAAATATAAAAATTTTTTGATTATTCATAAATTACTTAAAATGAAGCACAATTTTTAATAAAAAAAAAAATTAAAAAAATTGTTTTAAAGTTTTAAAATGATTTTTCTTGAATTGAAATATATCAAAATTTTTGAAATTAATGATCTGATAATTATTTTAAAATTATATTTAAAAAAAAAAAAAGTGAAATTAATCTTTTGTGACACTGTGACACTAATTTTTTTTCCTAATTTTCAGTTAACATTTATACTTCAGTTCAGTCCTAGAAGTATTGCTAATGCTATTATCATTTTCTCTCATACTGTAATTTTATTCAAATTTCCGGCAATTATCAGAGTATCCAACTAATTATATTTTTTTAATTAATTTATTAATTCTTTTATTATAATTAATTTTTGTATATTTAATGAATGAAAGACAATTATTTTTAATTTAATTAACAAATAAAAATTAATTTTTATAAAAATAAAATGCATAAACAAAAAAACATTGTAACTCTTTCATTTCTTTATAAGTTATTAGTTTTATCACTTTTTTTTTTCACTTAACTTTTGAATTGAACTTTTATTTGAATTGAAATTTGAACTTTTAACAAATTTTTTTTTCATTTCAAATTTTTACAAGCTTTTATTGTTTATTTATTTTTGAATTTTTAATTTTAACTAATTTTTTTTTCATTTCAAATTTATACAAACTTTTGTTGTTTACAAGTTTATTTATTTATTTTTTTTTAGGCGAAAGATATTTTACGAGATTTTAGCTTATCACGTAGTTTTTGGATGAAACAAAAAATGCGTCATACAACGCAAACTGAAAATGATTCATCGCAAATGACGTCGCATAGTTCACTTTTGGTACTATTTTAAACAAATTGATTAATTTAAAAAAAAAAATTTAAAAATCAAAAAAAAAAAAAAATCAAATTAAATGAAAATGATTCGTTTAGAATCATTTCTTATATATATTAATGAACCTCACAATACTATCTAAATTGGCTTAGGAAAATTATTTGGCTAATTTTATGCTAAAAATTTATGATAATTTTGAAAATTCTGTAACTAAACCTTGCAGCAAGTTCATTTCAAAAATTTAATTGAAATTAATTCATATAGAATATTGTGAGGATTAATTAATATATATAAGAAAGGATTAAAAAAAATGATTTTAGAGGTATTTTTTTTTCTTTCAACTAACTTAAAATTAACTAATGACTTAAAAACTTAATAAAAAAAACTTGAAAACTTTAACCAACTTAAAAATTTACTAGCTTAACTTAATTTAAAAGTAATTTAAGTTAAAATTATTGACTGAAATAGGTTTAAATTTTATTGAAATTATCAAATGATATTTGATTTGTATATTTTAGGATATGGGAAATCGTTTAATAATGCGAATAACATTACTATTTCGTGATCGTACAATAGCATGCATACCGCTTTACAGTAACAATTATCGATCATTTACGTCTGCGCTTCTATTTGGCGTAAAAGACGCTGAAGCTACGGTTAAATTTGTACGTGGCGCTAAAGCTGAAGCAAAATTTAGCGATTTTAAAATTGTTTTTGTGGAAAATTTTGAAAATGTTAGTGATATGTTATAAATGATAAGCTATTTTTTTTTTTTACAATTAATTATTTAGAATTATCTTAATCTTAAAATTTTAGTATTTATTTACTTGGATCATTCACTGATAGTGAATGTTTTAAAAATTCAATTTCGAAGTTTTAAAAAAAAAAAAAAAAATGAAACAGTAATAGGCAACGTACAATAATTATTTATTAAATTATTATTTTGTCTCATATTTTTATAAACAAAAAATTTTTTATCTTTTTTTTAAAAAAAACAAAAAACAAAATGAAGCAGTAATAGGCAACGTACAATAATTAGTTATTAAATTATTATTTTATCTCATATTTTTATAAACAAAAAATTTTTCTCTTTTTTTTCTTTTATTTAATTATCACACAAAAAGAGAAAAATTTATCAAACCATTCTTTACATATTATATCAATTTTATAATAATTTATAAGAAAAAAAAATGGTACAACTTAATGAATGATAAGAAAAGTTAATATTATAGACTAAAATTTCTTGATTTTTTTTAAATTCTTTTTGTTTTTTTCTTAATTCTTAGAAAGATACCAAGATGGTACTGTATTTTAGTCTATGGAAGAATCCTGGATTGATGGCCAAGAAAATACACCAACAAATTTTACATTCTTTCCGCATGGTGTTTGCAAAATTGTAGTGAAATCTTCAAAATCGGAACAATATAAACGAGTAGCATCTGTGCAATGCTCAATGAAAGGTCTTATCTTTGATATTGATAGTGTAAGTTATACTTTTTTTTTTTTCGACTATTAAAAAGTTTTTTAAGTAATTTTTAGTTTTATATATAAATTTAGTAAAGAAGTATTTCCAACATTTATTCTAATTAGTAAATAATTTTTGCAAATTGATTTAGTCAGAAGTGAAGATATTTTAAAAATTTAATTAAATAACTAATTAAATATTAAGTTTCAAAGGTAATTTATAATGAAATTGAAAATTTTTTCCTTTGAAATGTAAATTTTCTTCTCTCGAATATTATTTGAAAAAAGTTTTTTTCTTTTTTTTTTTTCAAAAAAAGATTGAATAATTTGACAGCGTATTGGAAATTTGATTGGAGCAGTGTGGAATACATGTGCAACAATTAATGAAGATCAAGATGTAGATGTAAGTGAATATGAACCGATGAAAATTATGACAAGTGAAATTGAACGAAATGATGATATTAATCTGAAAAATGAATATGCGTCCATTGTTAAACCGGAAAAACGAATTCGTTGGGTTGAGCAAAAGGTTGTAAATATTATTGTTTACATTTGAAAGAAAGAAAAAAAAAAGCATCTAAAAGCAAAAAATGGAAAAAAAGTCAAATTTTTGGTGCCATATTATTTCTCAATTACTTTCAGATCTAATCTAAGGTTCAAAAAAATAACAAAAAATAAATATTGAAATTAAGAATTTGTTTTATCTTTATTGCATTTTCGCATGGATTTACTTTAAGTTAATTCTCTTTAAAATATTTACGAGTTGAAGTAAATGAGTAACTCTAGGAACAAGGAAAATATATATAGTATCAATTGTAATATTAAATAAATTTAGGCAGGTTTAACTAGAATGAATAAGTCTCAAAATTTTATGATATTTGTTTTTTTTTTTTTTTTTTTTTTGATGTATAAGTTATTTAATAAATAATAATTTTTTACTTTTGACTGAGATAGCTGTCATCCAGATATCTCAAAGTAATTCCGATTAAGTAATTAACAGGTCAAGGAGATGAAGATAGCATTCTTGCTCATAAACTCATCAAACAAAAATAATGCCACAGTTTCAATAATATTGAATACAGTACTTACTCAAACACAGTAGTAAAATCTCAATTAGTGTAGTACTATAGTAATTGATATCAGAGTTACCGTATCTGTCAGATAAGGTACAGTACCAAATAGAATGTAAGTTAAATACAGTACTTATTCAAGTATGAGTTTTCATAACAAAGTACAGTAATACTGCATCCATAAGACAAATACAGTACCGAGTAAGTCTCAAATAGAATGCAATGTTTAATACAGTACTTTCTCAAACGTAAGCTTTCATACCAGAGTATAGTATTACAGTATCCTTTAAGCAAGTGTAGTACCAAATAGAATGCAATGTTAAACGCAGTACTTTCTCAAATATTGACATTCATATTGGAGTATAATACTACAGTATCCTTCAGACAAGTACAGTACCAAATAGAATGCAATGTTAAATACAGTACTTTTTCAAATACAAGCGTTCTATGAGATTTTAGAGAAAAAAAAATCAAAGCCAATTAAACAATAAGAAAAATCTGAACAAATAGAAGTTACTTTATGGTTAAGTCTTTTCTGTAATAGATGGTTTATTTAAGAAAATCAGAGTTTAAGTTTAATTAGAAATGAGTGCTTAAAATAATAAAATGATTTCTGAAATTGGAAATAAATCAGCGTATAATTTTGATAATATTCTTAGGATTGCTTAAACAAATTGGTACATGTAAATAAAACAACAAAAGAAAAAAAAAATTTCTAAACAATATTATTTTCTAAAATAACAAAAATATATATATAACAAAAACTAAGATAAGATAACAAAACAAAAATAAGCATACACAAAAAATATAATAACAAATTAATGTTAAATTATCAGGATGTTATCTTGCTAATAAAAATTTTTAGATTTATGAGCAAACGCAGAAATTAAAGTCACACATAACAGATGTCACATACGAATGGGAACTACGACGTTTGAAAAAACTTCAATTAATTCGAGTGAAACAATTTAAGGAATCAATGCTTGATCGTTTAAAACGACAAAAATTACGAGGCAAACAATTGAAAAAAGCACCAGTTAGAAAGGTATTTCTAAACAGGAAAATTTTATTTAAATAGATATTTGTTCAAATATTTCTCTAACACACATTTTATTTGATCATTAAAATATAATAATAAAAGTTGTAATATTGAAATAATTATTGTAGATTTTAGATTTTAATAAATTAAAATCAATTTATTAATTCAATGAATTAGAATATTAGGCCAATCTAAACCCAAATTATCTTTGCTGCTAGTTCAAGTTTAATCCCTTGATTAATAAAATTAAAAGTTATACTTTATCTAATTTCAAATTCATCAGATTGATTATCACTATTAAATTTAATTCATTAAATTGATAATATACATACTGATAAAAAGCAAAAAAATATCTTAATCAATTTGAAATAATTTCAAAATATTTGCAGGATAAAACTAAAGATGAAGATGATGCTGAGGAAAAATCAGATAGTGAATCAGTTACAGGTGAGCAATCAACAAAATTTCTTCGAGAAATTACATCGATTGATCAACCAAAAAGTAATATTGTTGGTTCATCATTGAAACAGCATAAAATTCCTGCTAAAATCAATGATAATACGATGAAAACTGATGAAAAAATGAACGATGGATCATTTATATTTGACATGCAAGTACTAATTAATTAATTTATTAATTAAATTTTTTGCAATTAAAATTTAATTACTTTCTTATCCTTTTTCATCTTCACTCAATTATTCTGATATCATAAGTGTATTAACGTATTATTATTATTATTAATATTATTAAGGTATTGATATCGCATTATCATTAAAGTTAAAGCATTATTATTATCATTATTAATATTATTATTATTATTATCATTATTATTATAGCATTAGACACAATTATACAATCAATTATTTTGACATCGTATTATTATTGAAGTAAAATTATTATTATTAGTTGTTATTATTATTATTATTATTATCATTATTATTATTATATCATTAGATACAATTATACAATCAATTATTTTGACATCGTATTATCATTAAAGTAAAACTATTATTATTATTGTTATTGTTATTATTAGTATTGTAGCATTAGATACAATTATGCAGTAATGTGTTAACACAATAATTTAATAAAATATCATAATTTAATACTTTTTTTTAGAAAAAAAAAGCGAAATAAGTAAGATAGTTATTTGTTCTAATTTTACCATTTTTGATTTGAAACTTTTCTTCAATCAATGCTTATCCATTCGTTGGCTAATTAAAATGCTAACATAATCAAATTCATTATATATAAAATTAAAAATAGAACTTATTACTAATTTTAGAATTTGAACTAATCTATTAAAAAATGGTATTTATTACTTTTTTTTTTTAAAAAAAATTTAAAATAATATATTTAAAATATGGAAATTCTTATCTTTTTTTTTTAAGAATCTTGAATAATAATTTTTTTTTGAAATTTAACAGAGAATTTAAATAAATTTTTAAAATTTTCACAGTTTTTTGGTGAAGCTGGTGAGTGTATGCTACGAAATAGAATTTCAACTGAATTTACAAGTACAACAAGTGCTACACCAGAAAATAATTTTAAAAGACATGATGATGCAAATGAAGATTGCACAAAAATTTCCTTACCAAGGTTAATTCATATAATTTCTTACATTTATTTTAAATTTAAAAAAAAAAAAATTGATAATTAATCAAAAATAATTTGCTTGCAAAAAATGAATGCATGTTGAATGCATTGCATGCATGCAATTATCAAATTTATTTACTTAATTACAGTAAAAAATTTAATAAATCATTATTTAAATGTAAGGAAATGCATTGAAAAAATTAAAAAGATTTAATGTATAATGCAAAAAAAGGAAAAATGTTTGTTATAAAAATTGCTAAAGATAAAGTATTTAATTAATTAATTACTCAATAAATAATAATTAATTAAATATTAAATTATGAAAATTATAATTTCTTTAAATCTTCTGGACATTTGTAAATGATTGCAAGTCACTGAGACATTTCTACTAATTTATAACTATTGCAAAAGTTCAACAGTCCTTGTCCATTTCAAATTTAAGATTTAATTTACTTAGTCTTTTTTACAAACTTTTAATTAACAATTTTCTGTAATATGCTAGTTTATAAGTAAAATCAACAAAAAAAAAATTAATTATAAATAATAAAATGGAAATAATTTTGTTTACTTTTTTCATTTTAAAAGTTGTTTATTACAGTATCGAAGCAAAAATATATTATTCCACTAATGATGCAATCAATTGTCATAAATCATTCCCAATGTAAGTCTCATCTATAATTAATTAAATATTAAATTTCAATTTTAATTAGCGCTACTAATGACAAATGGTTTTCCAATTCATGTCTTATCTATAATTAATTAAATATTAAATTTCAATCTTAATTAGCACTACTAAATAATAAATGGCTTTCCAATTCAAGTCTTATCTACAATTAATTAAATATTTAATTTCAATTTTAATTAGCACTACTAATAATAAATGGCTTCCCAATTCAAGTCTTATCTATAATTAATTAAATATTTAATTTCAATTTTAATTAGCACTACTAATAATAAATGGTCTCCTAATTCAAGTCTTATCTATAATTAATTAAATATTAAATTTCAATTTTAATTTTTTTTTAATTTCAATTTTTTTTAATTAAATATTAAATTTCAATTTTAATTAGTAAATTTCAATTTAATTAGCATTCAATTTTTAATTCAATTTTAATTTATTAGCACTACTAATGAAATAACAAAGGATTAATTGTAATTTTTCATTTGAATTAAAAAATAAAAATATTAAAACTTAAATTTAAAAAATTTTTTATTTCTTAGAATAAAATCAGCAACCACTTCAATGCCATATTTATATGTATCAGCAAATGTTGCTAATATGCCTGAAGAAACAGCACTTACACCAATTATTGCCGATTTTTTTCAGCAATTATTGGAAAATTTACCACAACAATTTCCTCAGCAAGTAAAAATTTATTTATTCATTTAGAAATTTTGTAGTTATTTAAATAATTTTTGAATAGTTGAATTATAAATTTCAAAAATTATTAATTATGAATTATACCCTTTTTTTTTGAATGGTACATTTATCATAAGCAAATATAAACATATTTATTCATTTGAGAATTTATTATTTATTTATTATATATATTATAAATTTAAAAATTTATTTATTCATTTAGAAATTTTGTAGTTATTTAAATAATTTTTGAATAGTTGAATTATAAATTTAAAAATTTATTAATTATGAATTATACCGTTTTTTTTTTGAATGGTACATTTATCATAAGCAAATATAAACATATTTATTCATTTGAGAATTTATTATTTATTTATTATATATATTATAAATTTAAAAATTTATTTATTCATTTAGAAATTTTATAGTTATTTAAATAATTTTTGAATAGTTGAATTATAAATTTAAAAATTTATTAATTATGAATTATATCCTTTTTTTTTTGAATAGTACATTTATCATAAGCAAATATAAACATATTTATTCATTTGAGAATTTATTATTTATTTATTATATATATTATAAATTTATTATTTATTTTTATTTGAATAGTTTATCAACACTGAATTTATAAATTATAAAAAATATTAATTATGAATTATATCCTTTTTTTTGAATGGTACATTTATCATAAATGAGTAGAAATTTATTAATTCATTCGAGAATTTTGTAGTTTTTGAATTTTTTTTTTTGGAATAGTTTTTGAATTATAAATTTTAAAATTTGTTAATTCTGAATTATACATTTTTTTTTAAAAACGGCACATTTATCATTTATTTATTTATTTAATATAAATTTATTTATTCATTTGAAAATTTTTTAAACACTAAATTATAAATTTAAAAAATTATTGACTATAACTTATACCATTTTCTTTCTCTAAACAATACATTTATCATACTGATAATAAAATTATCAACTATGTAATAAAATATCAAATAAATGATAAATTTATATTTTATTTTGATAATTTTAGTCAGAAAATGTAGTAAAATATCAAATAAATGATAAATTTATATTTTATTTTGATAATTTTAGTCAGAAAATGTAGTAAAATATCAAATAAATGATAAATTTATATTTTATTTTGATAATTTTAGTCAGAAAATGTAGTAAAATATCAAATAAATGATAAATTTATAATTTATTTTGATAATTTTAGTCAGAAAATGTAGTAAAATATCAAATAAATGATAAATTTATAATTTATTTTGATAATTTTAGTCAGAAAATGTAGTAAAATATCAAATAAGTGATAAATTTATATTTTATATTGATAATTTTAGTCAGAAAATGTAGTAAAATATAAAATAAATGATAAATTTATATTTTATATTGATAATTTTAGTCAGAAAATGTAGTAAAATATCAAATAAATGATAAATTTATATTTTATATTGATAATTTTGGTCAGAAAATGTAGTAAAATATCAAATAAGTGATAAATTTATATTTTATTTTGATAATTTTAGTCAGAAAATGTAGTAAAATATCAAATAAGTGATAAATTTATATTTTATTTTGATAATTTTAGTCAGAAAATGTAGTAAAATATCAAATAAATGATAAATTTATATTTCATTTTGATAATTTTAGTCAGAAAATGTAGTAAAATATCAAATAAATGATAAATTTATATTTTATTTTGATAATTTTAGTCAGAAAATGTAGTAAAATATCAAATAAATGATAAATTTATATTTTATTCTGATAATTTTAGTCAGAAAATGTAGTAAAATATCAAATAAGTGATAAATTTATATTTTATTTTGATAATTTTAGTCAGAAAATGTAGTAAAATATCAAATAAGTGATAAATTTATATTTTATTTTGATAATTTTAGTCAGAAAATGTAGTAAAATATCAAATAAGTGATAAATTTATATTTTATTTTGATAATTTTAGTCAGAAAATGTAGTAAAATATAAAATAAATGATAAATTTATATTTTATTTTGATAATTTTAGTCAGAAAATGAAAGTGATACAATCAGTATGACTGATACAGAATCATTATTAACATGTATTCATTCAAAATTAATGATTAATATATTACTTTCGATAACTATTCAGTCTAGTTCACTTCGTTTTGAAGCTCATCAACAGGTATACTCTAATTTATAACTTTTTTTTTTTTGATAATTAGCAAAATTAAACAATTTTTGAATTTTTTTTATTAATTTAAGAATTAAATTTAATGATAATAATTAATTTAATGATTCTAAGATTAGATAAAACATAACTTTTAATTTTAAGAATCAGCGAAATTAAACTTATGTGTATGTGATAATTTTTGAATTTTTTTTATCAATTTAAAGATTAAATTTAATCATGTTAATTAATTTAATGATTCCAAAATTAATCAAAGCTTTGACTTCTGCAAATCAAGAAAATCAAACTTATGTGTATATGATAATTTTTGAATTCTTGAGCAATTTAAGGATTAAATTTAATGATATTAATTAATTTAATGATTGCAAAATTAAACAAAGCATAACCTTTGACTTCTGTAAATCAAGAAAATCAAAGTTTTGTGTATATGATAATTTTTGAATTTTTTTATCAATTTAAAGATTAAATTTAATCATGTTAATTAATTTAATGATTCTAAAATTAGATAAACCATAACTTTTAATTTTAGGAATCAGCGAAATTAAACTTATGTTTATATGATAATTTTTGAATTTTTTGATCAATTTAAGAATTAAATTTAATGATTGTAATTAATTTAATAATTATAGAAATTAGATGAAGCATTTATGTGCGATTATAAGTTCTTAATTTTTGATATTATACATTTCTTATATACAAAATAAATTACATCATTAATAATAATTACAATTTTTTATATGCTAATTTTAATTGATCATTTCATTATTACAATTTTATTTTTCTGATTCAATTAATATAAATTACAATAAAATATAAATTTTTTTTTAAAACGAAAATGATAGATTTAATTGAGGATAATTGATATTTCCTAATGTTTACAAATGATTAAAACATAAATTAGTTTATAAAAATATAAATTGTACCATTTTTATATATTTTAATAATTTTGCTTTAAAAAAAAATAATAATAATTTAATTTAAATAAATTAAAAAAATTAATTTACTAATTATTTTTTTTAGAGAGCTGGTGCAATGGATCTTTTACTACGATTACCATCATTAAAGCTTGTTGCATCAGCACATAATGATACAATTAATAATGAATTTGATATTTCATTAAGCTTACAATCATTTTCTGTTTGTTTCTATAATCCACATCAGGTTTAATTTAAAAAAAATTTTTTTGTTGAATTTTTGTTTTTTTGTAAATATTTTAAATTTTTAAATTTTGTAAACATTTTCACTTCAATTAAATCTTTTTTTGTTGCTATCTTACTAAAATAACTTAGTCATATTAAGCAGTTTAATAGTTTATTTTAATAAGATAACAGTAACAAAATTATTACTCTCAAAATTTAAAAATAAAATCATCTAGGTATATCTGAAAAATTAAAAAATAATTAATTTAAAAATGTTTATTTATTTTTTTTTTTGTTTGACAAATAATTTATTTATGCAAAAACATTGTCAATTAATTTTCTCATAGTATCTTACTAAAATAACTTAGCCATATTTAACAGTTTATTTTCCTAATAACAAAATTATTACTCTCAAAACTTAAAATTAAAATCGTCTAGGTATATCTGAAAAATTAAAAAACAATTAATTTAAAAGTGTTTTTTTTTTTGAAAATTCAATTAATCATTTTTTTAAATAAATTATATTATTAAAATATTAATTCATAAAGCCTTCACCATTGGATTTTACGCTTAACTTAGATATTTCACAGTTTATTTCACCAATAACATATTTATTACCTCAAAATTTAAATTTAAAAATTTATATATTGAAATTTAAAAATTTTAATTTAAAAGTGTTTTTGAAAAATCAATTAATCATTTTTTTAAATAAATTATATTATTAAAATATTAATTCATAAAGCCTTCACCATTGGATGATTTTTATTTTAGATAATTTAAAAATTTATACGTACGAATATTTAAATGATAATTCACATTTAAAAGTTTGCAATTTGAAATTTAATTAATTTTATTTACGCATTTTGAAAACTATTAATTCTACTCGTACTATTCCAGAAGTATAATTTATTAAAATAACCTTTTTTTTTTTTTAAAAAAAATTTCAAAAGAAGATTGTTTTTTTTTTATTTTGATAAAATTAAAAATTTAAATAAATTTAAATTAAATAAATAAATTTTAATTTAATTTTGTAAAATTGATATTGTGTAACTAATATTTTATCATAAATCAAATCATTATCAAGGATCATTCATTAATTAATCTTTTACAAATTCAAATTTAAATTCAAATATAATTTTATTAGCTATTAAGTTATTTTAATTATTAAACAGATCATTCATTAATTGATCTTTTACAAATTCAAATTTAAATTCAAATATAATTTTATTAGCTATTAAGTTATTTTAATTATTAAACAGATCATTCATTTTAATTTCACAAACAAAAAAAAATATTAAATTAACTATAATTTATTATAAAGTTATTTTAATTATTAAACAGATCATTCATTAATTGATCTTTTACAAATTCAAATTTAAATTCAAATATAATTTTGTTAACTATTAAGCTATTTTAATTATTAAACAGATCATTCATTAATTAATCTTTTACAAATTCAAATTTAAATTCAAATATAATTTTGTTAACTATTAAGTTATTTTAAATATTATTAAATTTTCTTTTTTAAAATTTTTTTAATTTATTATTTTTTTAAAAAAAAATTATTTTTTAATTTTGCAAAAAAAAAAAAAATTAAATTATAGTTCAAAACGAACAAGAAAAATGATGGATAAATTAATGCTTGAAGCATCAATAAATATTCATTGGGATAGTTTTAAAGCAAAAATTCAAATGTCAAGTGCAATGGGTGATACAAATTGGTTAATTGATAAAATTTCTACAAAAATTATATTTTCTGTATGTTTATTTTATAATTTAATAAATAATATTTTTGTAGATGAAAAATATTATTTATCTAATAATAATAATAATAATAATAATAATAATAATAATAATAATAATAATAATAATAGTAGTAATAATAATAATAATAATAATAATAATAATAATAATAATAATAATAATAATAATAATAATAACAATAATAATAATAATAATAATAATAATAATAATAATAATAATAATAATAATAACGGTAATAATAATAATAACAATTAATAATAATAGCAATAATAATAATAATAATAATAATAATAATAGCAATAATAATAATAATAGTAATAATAATAATAATAATAGTAGTAGTGGTAATAATAATAATAATAACAGTAATAATAATAATAGCAATTAATAATATTACCAGTAATAATAATAATAATAATAATAATAATAATAATAATAACAGTAATAATAATAATAGCAATTAATAATATTACCAATAATAATAATAATAATAATAATAATAATAATAATAATAATAATAATAATAATAATAATAATAATAATAATAATAATAATAATAATAATAATAATAATAATAATAATAGCAATTAATAATATTACCAATAATAATAATAATAATAATAATAATAATAATAATAATAATAATAATAATAATAATAATAATAATAATAATAATAATAATAATAATAATAATCATTAGTTTTTTTTTTCTTATTTGCAATGATATAATTATAAAATAATTTTATCAGTATTTCAATATTATCAACATTTTATATTATAAACACTTTAAAAAACGAAATTATTGCTAGAAAAATATTCTTTTTAAAAAAATTTCACTAATTTTTTTTTAAAAAAAGAATCATCAAATAATAATATCTATTAATTTATGTTAGTTTCTTTTTTTTTTTCCATCCCTTATTTAAAATTAGATTAATTAGTTTAAAAAAAAGGATAATTTTATTAACACTAATAACTATAAGAAATTAGTTTGTTTACAATCATATAACAATCCTTAATTATACCTTATTTTTTCATTTTATTTAATCAGAAAAAGAAAAAAATGAAATAATAAAACATTTGAAATTAATTTCAAACTTTTATTCTTTAATTCTAATAGCTTCAACCATTTGTTGAACGACGATTGAACATATATTTTGGTGTATCATTTCTGGAACAGGAAGCAAAAGGTGGTGCAATTTCCGGATCATTACAAATTGCTAATGCTGCAATCAATTTTAGTTGGATATCACTTTGCAATGTTTGTTTTAAAATGATAAAATAATTTGAAAGAAATTTCCAAAAAATTCATTTTACTTAAAAAAAAAACGAATTAATAAATATTTGAAATTAATTTTAAAATTTCATTCCTTAATTTTATAGCTTTAACCATTTGTCGAACGATTCATGGTTGAATATATGTTTTGCTGGATATATTTTAAAAATAATTTAAGAGAATTTAAAAAAATTATCTAAAATAATTTATCAGAATTTTTTTTTTAAGCAACCTACATCATTTTCATCAAAGATAAATTTTAATGAATTAAAAATACAAATTATTTGGATGGGTCGTGTTGTTATTGTTGTATTAATCGATCAATCATCACTTCTACTTAATGATGAATGGAAATTATACAATGATCAGGATGAAAAGGTATTCTTTAAAAATTTAAATCATTAAAATTCAATTATACATATTATGAATTAATCATTTGGATGACCTGAATAGGTGGAAATTAATAAGTAATGAATAAGTAATGAAAATTAAATTCATCAATGATAAATATTTTTCTTTTGAAAATTTTATTCTTTTGTTTTTTTTTGAAAAATACTTTAAAAAATGAGAAGGAATTGATAATGTATATAAAATAGATTATCAATTCCTTAATTAATTAGCAATAGTAAATTTTCTTATAATTGTACGATTTGATAACAAAAAATGGCCAATATTTAAATTTCAAAAATTTAAATTTAATTAAAAATGATGACAATTGCTTAATTAATTAACAATAATAAATTCTCTTATAATTGCACCCAGTTGATAACAAAAAATGGCCAATATTTAAATTTCAAAAATTTAAATTTAATTAAAAATGATGACAATTGCTTAATTAATTAACAATAATAAATTCTTTTATAATTGTACGATTTGATAAAAAAAAATTGCTACAATTTAAATTTCAAAAATTTAAATTTAATTAAAAATGATGACAATTGCTTAATTAATTAACAATAATAAATTCTTTTATAATTGTACGATTTGATAACAAAAGATGGCTAATATTTTAATTTCAAAAATTAAAATTTAATTAAAAAAGATAATGTAATAATCATTAACATTTAGAGTTTATAGTTGATATTTTCTCATAAGTATGACAAGATTTAAAATATCAAATTTGAATGGACAACAAAAACAATAAACAAAATTGATATTAAATTTAAAAATTTTATAACATTAGCAAAATTTAATTCTTATTTATGTTTATTAACAGATAAAAGAAGCAATGATAATGCTTAACAGTATTTTGAAATATTCTAAACTACAAGCTATTATCACTAAAGCTACATTCAACAGTATTGATAGTGTGATACAAAAACTTAGTGTTTTCTTTAAGGTAATGATTTGTTTATTTATTTATTTGTTTATTTATTTTTTTTCTTTGTCAAACCATTCTTAGCACTTATTATTTATTAGTAAACAAATTGGTAAACAAAATTTTTAGTAAACAAAGTCTGTTTGTTTTAAATTATTAGTAAACATTATTAGTAAACAAAATCTGTTCATTTAAAAAATACTAGAAAATTTAGGAGTAAGTGATAAGCTGAAATTAGAAATAGTTAAGATGAAAATTTTGATAAATTTTTTTTTCTTTCAACCAAAAGTAAAACTTAGTTATTACTATCGAAATGAGATCTTTTTTCAAATTAGTTTAATTAATTCTCAATAATATAACAAAGAAAAAAGAAGAAAAAAAATGAAAGTAAGGTACAATTAAAAATGTAACTTAGAAATAAAATTAAAAGTGAAAATATAAATAGGTTTTAAAATTAGAAGTAAGTGATAAGCTGAAATTAGAAATAGTTAAGATGAAAATTTTGATAAATTTTTTTTTCTTTAACCAAAAGTAAAACTTAGTTATTACTATCGAAATGAGATCTTTTGTTTTCAAATTAGTTTAATTAATTCTCAATAATATAACAAAGAAAAAAGAAGCAAAAAAAATGAAAGTACTATAGAAATCAAAATGTAACATAGAAATAAAATTAAAAGTAGAAATATAAATAATTAAATAAAAGATTTCATTGAAAATAAAATTTATAAATTAAAATAATGAAATGAAATAAAATTTTAGGAACAAGTGGAAGATAGCCGTCTGTTACATAATCTAACAAATAAAACATTAGCAGGAACTATTAAAAATGTTATCAAATTATCACAAATATTTCATTGGGCAAAAATTCTTGATTTAGTCACTGATATGCAAATGAAAAGTAAAACATTTCCAATGCCTAATGCTAGTAATGGAAGGACAATTATTTGTGGACAATTTATTTCAATTGGACAACAAGCATCATTGGTTCTAATGGAAGGTGAAATTACAGCAAATCGGTTTGTAATTTAGTATATTATTCAAAATATTACTTAAATTTCATTTCTAAAATTTAATAATGTTTTAGTTAATATAAATTTAATTTTGGATGAAAAAAAAAATGAAACAAAATGAGTAAAGGAATGTTTCAAAGTTATGTTTTAAAGTAAAAATCGGTTTGTAATTTAGTATATTATTCAAAATATTACTTAAATTTCATTTCTAAAATTTAATAACATTTTAGTTAATATAAATTTAATTTTGGATGAAAAAAAAATGATGAAACAAAATGAGTAAAGGGAATGTTTCAAAGTTATGTTTTAAAGTAAAAATCAAGTAAAATATAATTATGCAAATTGCAATTATAGTTTTAGTGAAGAAAGAAATTGTGTAAAATAAAATAGAATGAGGAAAAAAAAAAAAGAAATAAGCAAAAAATTTTTTAAAATTTCTCAGTTCAACAAATTTATGAATAATTTTCTTTGGATTATTCATTAATTGTTTCAACAATGAAATTAAAATGTAACACTTTTAAGTGTTAATATCAATTTCTTAGACTTAAACTTATTTTCAAATGTTTAAATTAGTTCTATTCTATAGTGGAACTAATTTAAATTATTATTATTATTATTATTTAGGTGAGAAAAAAAAAATAAATTCAAAAATGTTTATATTTATACACAATGATTTATTTTATAAAATTCTTCAATGTTGATAAAATAAACAATCCTATCGTTTTGTTTGTTGTTTATTAAATGTAAATTTAACTAAAATTGTTCAATTTAAATTTCGTTTAGTTGGGCGCTTTTCTATCTCAATCAGCCAACATTAATTTTCTCAAGTGCTGCACAATATACATTTCTTGATGAAAAACAAACAATTGGTATTGATTTATCAGAAAAATTACTACTTAAATTAAATGGTGCAACAAAAGAAAATAAAATTTCTGATAATAATTGGACAAGTGTTATTTGTAAAGTTGAGGTTTGGTTTCTTTTTTTTATTTTTTTTTTTCAAATATTATCACAAATTAAAGTTTTTTTTTTTATTCAAATGAAAAATAAAAAAGGAGGAAATATTTATTATTGCTTGTTTAATTTATAAAACATTGATCATTTTTTTTTTCTTCGAATAATATTTATTTCAATTTTTGGCGTATCTAATTCATAGAATTATTTCTGCTATTTAAAGTGAAAAAATAATTTAGAGCGTATTTTTCTTTTTTGAATCAATTATTTGATAAAATTCAAGACATTATCACATACTCTATTTTTAATTTAAATGATTATTTTCTAATTTGATATTTTATCGAACTAATCTCAGGATTAATTTACATTCAATAATTCAATATGACTGAATGAAATTACATTAAAAATAGCTTGTGCTTGAATTTATTTGGCTTTAAAACTTAATTTGCAGTAAGATACAGTAAACCAAATACAGTAAATATAATAATGCAGTAAAGTTAATACATAGTAACTTAATACGGTATATACAATAATACCGTGGATTTAATTATTATAAGATTATGCAATATTACCTTTCCCAATCTGGGAATCATATTTTTGCAGTAATTTAACACGGTAAACACAATAGTACAGTAAGTTTAATACAGTAATTTTAGTACGGTACAATATTACAGTAATTTAAATAATTATAAGGTTATGCAATATTACCTTTCGCAATCTGAGAATTATATTTTTTACAGTAACCTAACACGGTGAATACAACAGTACAGTAAGTTTGATAGAGTAATTCTAGTACGGTACGTAGAATAACACAGTTGATTTAATTATTATAAGATTATGCAATATTACCTTTTGCAATCTGAGAGCCATATTTTTTACAGTAACCTCACACGGTAAATACAAAAGTACGATAAGTTTGATACAGTAATTCTATTACGGTACATGCAGCGATACAGTAAATTTAATTATCACAAGATTATGCAATATTACCTCTTACAATCTGAGAATCATATTTTTTTTACAATGACTTAATACGGTAACTACAATAGTACAGTAGGTTTAACACAGTAATTTTGGTACGGTATATACAATAATACGGTAAATTCAATCATTATAAGATTTATGGAATATTATCTCTCCCAATTTGAGAATTATGTTTTTTTTTCAGCGCCATAAAGATCAAACATGTCCGAAATATGCAACAATTCAGGAATGTCTAACATTATGCATCGATGAACCATTAGCACAGCTTTTCTCATTGACCCAAAATTCAATCAAATTTCAGTCAATGGTACTTGAGCTATTCGAGTAATTCTTTCTTTCTTCTTCTTTTCCTTCATTATCTAATTTCAACACAAAAAAATTTTGCAATCATTTCATACTGATAAAAAAAGATGATAAAAAAATAATTCATAATAAAAAAAAAATTTATAACCATAATAATATATTCTATTTCTTTTCGACATTATTTGATATTTTAAGAAATTATTATGAATAGATTATTGTTGTTCAAAAAAAGCAATAATAATTCTTCCATAATTTTTGAATTTTATTTTCTAGACTACCTGCAATGGATTCAGTTTTTACCAGCAATCAGAAAGTACCAATTCATTTAGAAAAACTAAAAGATATTAAAACTGAAGTGATTTTATTTTCATTTCAAAATATTCCTTAAAAATTTAGTAGCAATAGAAAAATTAAATTTGTGAATTGAATAAATTCATCAGGAATGTGTGATCAGTGTTATTTGTTTAGAGAATTAAAAAGTATATACCAAAACTTTATTAGTATATACCAAAACTTTATTAGTGGAATTTTAGAAGAAACTTTATGATTTCCAACTTTTTATCCTTCCATTCTTTTTTTCTCAATCTTTTCTTCATTAAATCTAATATTATTGAAAATGCTTCCATTTAAGGAATTTAATTATGAATTTGCTTTTTTTTTTGTTTAGGTCCTGTGCAGTCTTATATGTGATTTTCATCAAGCACTTGGCGTACAGACTGATCTCTCAACACAAATTAATTTTCTTCCTGAATTACTTCGATCTTATCTTATCGAACAGGTTTAAACTATTTTATCATTTTACATTGTTATACTTTTTTTTTTTTTCATTTTCCTTCTTAGAAACTGTGTTACAAATATATACAATAAATACTTAAAGATAAGTTTTAAAAAAAAAAGGAAATTAAAGGAAATGTTCAAAATTTTGGAAAATTCAAAATTTACATAAATATTTGATGTAATTCAGGATAAAGATGTTAAAAAAGAAATAGGAAAGCTACCAATGGAGGAGAAATTAGGAAAAGGAGAAACTGAAAAAACTGATAAACGACAGTATATTTGCAAACAGTGGAAAGTTGATCCAAAAATACGATTCATTGATAAAGTAAAATGGGATCCACCAGTTATTGATGAGATTTTGCGTAAATTACAAGTAAGTTTCAAAAATTATATGGATAGATTTGAAGTTTTGGAAAAGATTAAATTGACAAAAGTTTAAGATTAAGATTAAGAAATTGTTAAAAGATCATTGGTTATATTTAAGATATTCGATCATCGAAATACCATACCTAAAGTTGTACAAAGACATATACTGGATCATTGCGATATATTTTTATCAAAAATTCTTTTGGCTATTGTAAAAGTTGCAAAAGAAGCTTCAGTAAAAAGTGATCGAATGTCCACTCATTTTTAATGAAAAAAAAAAAAAAAACAGTGAAAGAATTAAAAAATATAATTCAGTATTTATTATTTAATTTTCATTTTATTAATAAAATAAAGATGAGATAATGTGAAAACATGTATAAAATTTGATAAAAGTATGAAGAACTAAGTATAACAGAGCATATATTTGAGAAAATTTTTAAATAAATAATAAAATCAAACTCAACAATGAAGTAATCCATTAAAGTCAGCCTAATCTTTAAGAAAAGAGAAATTTTTTGACAGATTCATGTTTTTTTGGAATGATAAGGAATGGATTATTCTTGAAAACTGATAAAAAAACAAAACACAGAAAAGAGCGATGGATCAAATTATACCAAAACAAACATACCTTACCTAGAAACTATCAAAATTTCATGCTTATGGAGCTCCGCTCTATTATTTCCAAAAAAAAAAAAGCGATTTTAATTCCATAAAACTTATCTGAAATTTCCCATATATTCAACTATCGTCAAGATGAGTATTAAATTCTTTGATATTCTAGAGTAAAAGCTGATCAGTGCAATTAGCTTTGTCATAAATATTGTAGATTTTTGCAAAATCCGAAACTACTGTTGTTTTAAAATGTACACTTTCAAAAAAGAAAAAAAAAATTTATTTATTGTAAGAATGTTGACAAAGGTTTTTCTATCAACCAATTTTCATTCATCAATCGCTGATTAAGTGCTTCATGTAGTTGATGTACTGTTTTCAGGCCAATACTGATCATTTCCTCTAAAACTGTACAAAGCACAAATGAAGTTTACAGTTATATTTATAGCTTTTTATTTCTCTAACACTTTCCTTTATCTTTGAAAATTCAAAACTAACGTTAAATGAAATGAAGTATACATTAAGTTAGTTAAACTATATTAGTAAGCCTGAAATATTTGATAAAATAGATACAAATAAATTACATATATATATATATATATATATATAGGATCAGCTACAGCAACTTAAACAAAATTTAAAATTATTTGCATGAAGAAATGTGTTTACTTTGAACAAAATTGTTTTAAAAGAATGCTTTAACATTCTCCATTTGAAGAAATGCGTTCAACAAAAGGAAAAATCTCAACAACAACAACAAAAAAAAGTACCAACCAAGTGAATCAATTTCAAGAGTACCACCACCGCACTGCCTCATAAATGTAATTATGGAACCATCACGCTTCACTGCACATTGATTATTTTGCTGAAAATAATTGTTCACTATACATTCTCACATCCATTCTTATCTATGGACTGTTTACAGTTTTCTTTCTACGTATTAGCTCAGTACAAGTGGACCTCATGGTATAATCAATCAAGTCACTAACTCACTAAAATTTTAGAAAAAAAAAAAGATAAACAAGACTGATAATTAAATAAAATTAAACGACAAAAATTAAATGATATACATTGTGATTGATGTCAGAAACAAATTGTGGAGCGACAGCAATCCAAACAGATGTTCGAGTGCATGCTTCTTCGGTCAACGAATTGTCAACAATTTTAGCAGTTCCAAGTCTATTTACACTGACAAATAAAGGAACTCTGCAACAAATAATAAAACACTAGAAATCGAAATTTTGTAATTAAACTAATGAAACTACGTTTAAGCATTATTCTAGCAGTTGAGGAAAGTCGGGAGTTTGAAGGAAGGAAAGACGATGAAATAAAGTTGTCCTTATCGTAGAAATCAAATTCTAATCCTCAAATCAAATCCCATTCCTCTGCATCTGAACTCAGCAATACTTGAAGTGAGAAATAACAATGTAAAAAAGAAATTTCAGTTCTTTAAAGAGATCAACGACAATCAACCATTCGAGATAAAAAGATCAATGAATTTGAATGAAATCTTGCAAGGTAATAATATCTCACTTTGCCCTACCAAAACGATAAATCCATTTTCATTTAAACAAATCACGAAATCCATTATATTGCAAAACGGATACCTTGATGTATCTAATTTCCAAACAGTATTATCGTCCGGTAAATCAATTGTATACTTTCCTTCATCAGCTGGTCTGACTATAACTTTACTAATTTCCGTGTCTTTCAATGCTGCTTTAACCTAGAATTACTAATATATAATTCAAAAAAGGCATAAAAAACTCAGTTTGTAATTATTAATCTCGTAATCTCACATTCTGTTTGAAGTTTACTCCATAAAAAAGGAAAGAAATTCACTAACCCCTAATCCTGCTGCATCAATAACATTACCGTCACATTGTAAAAGAACGATATCCACAAACAGTTTCCAAGCATGCATTGGAGATAGAATCAATCTATGAAAAAATAATATTAAAAATATAAGGGAAAACATAGCACATGAATTTCTATCTAAACAGTTATTCAAATCATATCAAATTCTCTGAATTTCTACTAACACTTATCATTCATATTATTACTTATAAATACTTTTTTAAATCTGGAAGCACATAATTGTTGTCATAAGCAGCATCTAATGCTGCACTCAATTCATCCGCGAATTCTTCACCACCACGACCTACAATTATAAGTTTTACTAGTCATTCTGAAAAGATTGATCATTGAAGACTATAGATCTTACACTTCATATTAATTTACTTCATCAAACTTTGGTTAATATGGCATTAGAACAAATGAAAAAGAAAATTTGTTTCCCAAAATCTTCGGATTAAAAAAAAATCATCGTAACATCTAAAATATCACAAAAAATGTCTATTCCAAACTAACTGTTGTAAAACTATCAACAAATTTTTATCATTATAATACCATTCATATGAATCTGTTTAAATGCTACGCTAGCCCAGCCTATAGTAAGAAGGTCTTACTACTAAAGTAAGCTATAGTAAAACCTATATTAAGTAAGAATACAAGCTTAAGAACTCGAAAGTATCCAAGATTCAGCTCAGAGATACCAGAAAGAACGGTATATTCATGAAGATTTCGAGAATTCCATTTTTCACCCTTATCTAGATACAACGCAGAAATAAAATGCTACATCTCAACCGCTAATAACTACAATGTTTAAAACTGAAATTAAACAAGTAAAATCCTTTACATACCAGCAAAAAGTGGAGTGGCATTTGCTGAGCAATCAACAAAGAAATTTAGCCGATTCCGATAAACAGTGGTATCCACGCTGATTAATTCGGCTTTGACACCAATTAGTAAATCAGTTGAACCTATCTGGACACGAGCTGAACCATTTGTTGTTGCCAAAACACCGGTTTGAACTATTATAGGCCGGTAATCTAATGGACTGCAATAAAGAAGGAATGACCATGCTGACTAGAAAACATTAGTATAAGAAAAAAATTACCCTTGACTGAAGTGTAATGAACTTATTAGGTTTTTCTTCAAAAGCTTGCTCGAAAATTTCAAGAAATCATTTAAAAGCTAACTGAAACATGTTATCTTCTCATAATAAACATAAGACCAAAGAAGGTATGGATTAGTTTAAATAGAGTTAGCCAGAATTTAACTTGAACACTGAGTAAAAATGAGGTAATACGGAATAGAACCAAATTACTTAAAACTATTTGAAATCAGCTGTAACACTTACCCACGTCCGTCAGCTCGCAAACCTTCCTGCGCTCCATGTATTATGAATACTTTTTCGGCTTCACTTAATTGCACTTCCATTTTTTGAAGTTAATCTTGAATTTACAAAAAACGAAAAAGTGAAAGCCTCATTCTGCTGCACAACAGTCTTACTTTATCTGAAACTATAAGAACACGTTTAAACTTGGGAAACGATTTTATGGTACCACGTAGAGTAATTTTTTTTGACAGTAAGGACATAGCGAAACCAATAACCTGGTACCATACAAGTACCATAGCTCGTCAACATACAAATACCTACATTTAGTCCAGACACCATACAGGAATCAGATTAACGTTAAGTTCACAGTATAACCCAACACCACGGTACCATAAGTTACCCAACGTACGTACCGCACTTGAGTACCACCATGTACCGTAGTACCACGACCGCGATTTACCCTACCACCCAGATAATTTAAAAATGAATGCAATTATTAAATCCCACGCCGAGAGTTTTTTTTTCGAAAGATTCAGAATCTTTCGTTTGTGATCTAACAAATATTCCTCTCAGTGACAAGTAGAGCATTTGATTTTACGGGTTAAAGGTTAAAGGTCAATTGATATATACTGGTTAATTGACAGTTATTTTTCTATTTCAGAATTCCTTCCCAAACGAAATAATTTCCTCCTCTCTTTTCTTCTTTCTTTTTTAAACATTAATTGCTGCTATTGTTTTCATCTCATCGTCTTCTCATTCTGTTATTTCTTTATTTATGTAAGATTTAAATTTATTATGGAAGATTTAAAATTATTTTTGTTATCTTTTTAAAAGGATAATTCAGATCTTCTAGAATATGTTTGTTTATTCAGCAATTTTATTTCATATGTGAGAATTTGTTGGAGAATAAGATAAATTAAATGATTGAAAAGACTGAAAGGAATATGGTAGTAGAGTTAAATATAGCAAGAAAGTTCGAGAGTAGCCTAGAAAATTCGAGAATAGCCTAGAGTTGACGAGATTTAAGGAAAATTTGTTGAGTAAGAATATTTGAATATTCCTTTGTACTTATACTATTAGGTATTATACTATGATATATTTTATTATCCTCTTTCATTATCATTTCATATTTATTAGTTTGACTATTTTTTCTGATATTTTTCTAATAGATATATTTTTTTAATCTAAGTAATAAAACGAGCAGAAGATAATTAGAAGTTTATCTGACTTAGATATTTAAAGAAATTAATATTTGTTTCATATTTAAAGAAAATATAAAATAGTTTTATCTTTAAAAAAGGAGAAATTATATATTAAATTAGATTCAATACTAAAAAAAATTGTTATAGTTATGATTGAATAGATTGTCATTTTCATAAATTATCACAATCATAAATAGCAAAACGAATTTATATTGCTTAAAATAAATCGAATAATACTTCTTAGTTTCATAAATTGAAAAATTGCGATCGTTTTTA